AGCTCACCCCGTCGCAGGGATTCGAACCACCGACCTTCTGATCGGCAAGTCCTAGGCTTTGTGGTTTAACCCACAGTGCCACCCGCGTCCCTGCAACTAAGTACAACTAAGGAAGAGCATGATCAACAGCTCTAGCAAGTCCTCAATACTGTGAGAGCCTGAACCCTCAAGCTGAACAGGGATAAACGTATTTTTGGTGTTAGAAAATATGATATTTATAGGAGCCGTTTTTTCTGATGAAGTTGTGAAACAAGCACAAATAATATAATGGTTATAAACATGATGCATGTGTGTAGAGGAGATTTGCCATTACTGACTACAATGTCCACTATATGCAGACCCAGGAAATTGATTCTTAAACCCATTTTCACGAAGGAAGCAAATCTAACCAGGGTGGGGTGGTTCAAATGGCTCTGTGACTTATAAGGTGGTTCTCTATGCCCTGGCAGCTAGGATGATTAGGAAGGAAGAACTGGATGGGCTAGCAGTCAATTGCAAAGGGGACTCTGAGATCTAATCTGCACATTTTATTTGTGTAATGAGAACTTTTGGTGGATTTGACCATGGTTTTTCTGCATATGTAGCGACTGCTGTTTCTCTCTTGGTCACACAGCCTACCATATGGCAGTGATGAAATTCAGAGAAGAGTGACTAGCCCAAGGTCACCCAGCAGCTGCATGTGGAGGAGCGGAGACGCAAACCCGGTTCCCCAGATTATGAAACTACCGCTCTTAACCACTACACCAGACTGGCTGTGCCTTCCACTGAACTAGTAGAAAACAAGAGGCAGGAATGGGAGCTCATGTAGATATGTTTATTGCTTCCCTTCCTGTGGCAAATGAAAAATTATAACAACTCAATGAGGAAACCGATAAAGACCCATCACTGTAGATCCGGAAACATGTGTGATTTGAGATTCCTCAAATTGCGGCCATGAACTCACAGTGATAGATGACATTGTCTTCAATCGAAACTAAGTGGTGATAACTAGTAGCCTCTGTAAAGAAATGTTACAACTAATCCGTGAGATCATTGTGGCATTAGGAGGTGCACAAGAGGTGATGTATTAGCCTAGGATTAAGAAGGACATAGCAGCCATTGTAGGAGGTTGTTCCACCTTCTTAAAGTGCAACTCACAGCAACAAGCAGAGCAAGATGATGAATTGGGGCCTACTAGAAGATAGGAACGGACTTATTCTCATGCCATTCCAAGGACTACCTGATAGTCACAGATCTCTCCAGAAATATGCACACTGCAAAGTACCAGCACTTAATCAGTGATTGCCAGCCAACCAGATGCATGCCCTCCGACATCTCTCCAAAGAAAAGAGGAATGTCCTGTTCCATAATAATTCCACTCTGGGTGACTTCCAACATATATAAAAACATAATAAAACATTAAACATTTTTTTAAAAAACTTCCCTACACAGGGCTGCTTTCAGATGTCTTCTAAATGTTGTATAGTTACTTATCTCCTTGACTTGGGGGTCACATAACTCCATACCCTCCAGTGAAAATAGGGACGTCCTACCATACCATCCAACATTTCTCTGATGAAAATAGGGATGTCCTAAGACAAAAGACCCTGATGTTGGGAAAGACTGAGGGCACAAGGAGAAGGGGACGATAGAGGACAAGATGGTTGGACAGTGTTCTCGAAGCTACCAGCATGAGTTTGACCAAACTGCGGGAGACAGTGGAAGACAGAAATGCCTGGCATGCTCTGGTCCATGGGGTCACGAAGAGTCGGACACGACTAAATGACTAAACAACAACAAGGCAAAGAGGAACATTCCAATATCAAATAAGAAACCAGGACAGCTTTTGTATATTCAGGAGTGACCCTGGAAAATAGGGACACTTGGAGGGTCTGCAGTTGCTTTCTTGACAGCATGAAAGCAAGACATCAGCTCTATACGCAATATCAGCTCTATGCTCCTGTAGTGGGGAAGGAGAACAGAAAAAAGACACATCTGGCAACCAATGCACCCCTTTGGTTTCAAATAGTACATGGGTAGAAATGTATACTTGATTCTGACCAAACTAGACCCCCTAGAGCACAATATACAGCAGGAGGCTTAGTCTGGTCAGAACTGAGTACAGTGGTTCCTTTGTTGTCGAACGGCTTGGCTTCCAAACAAACTTGCTACCGAACGTCGTAAACACGGAAGTGAGTGTTCCGGTTTGTGAACGTTTTTTGGAAGCCGAACATCCGACGCAGATTCCATGGCTTCCAATTGAGTGTAGGAAGCTCCTGCAGCCAATCAGAAGCTGTGCCTTGGTTTTCGAATGGTTCTGGGAGTCGAACGGATTAAGTTTGACAACCAAGGTTCCACTGTATACACTTTTAGAGTTAACGCTAAATACATTACTTCTGGTAAATGAACCACCATAGCTGCTAGAGGGCTGTGGAAATTTGTGTCCTGGGCTTCTTAGACTCGACTACCCATGTACCATTTGAAACCAAAGGAGCACATTGGTTGCCAGATGTGAAATATGCAGTATACTGCCTCCGATAGTAAAAGTAGTACCCTTGTCCAGTAGGCGGCAGTCATTGTTGCTACTAGCCACTCATTCTTCTGAAAGAAAATCTGTGCATCCTTATTATTAACAGGCTGTTGAAGGATGATTGCTCAAACTATGCAGTGATAGAAGGAAAGGTTTGATAAGAGAATATACGGATACTGAAGACTGGAGGAGGATCCCAGAGGATCAACTGTAGGGGGAGCTCTTTGTGCTGCACCGAGGTCCAACTTGGACCCTGAAGTCCAAGGCTCAGATGGTGTGGGCCTCCCAGATGCATCAGGTAGGACACTGTGGGAAGCAGGATGCCTATGTAGTTTGGTCTTTGATGTTATTAAGCAGGGTAGCTCTTGGACTCATATGTCATCTGCACTAAGCCTTTGAGAAAATGCCCTTAGGAGGCTCCTTGAACAGTTGCATAATTGGAAGCTAAACCTGCTGGGTCTCTTTTGGAGGTGAGGGTGGATGTGCATTGTATTCTTCCAGTCACTCCCAACATCCCTGCAATGTCACTGAAATGCAAGTATATTCCGGCATCACAAAGATTATAAACACTAATATTAATTATTACAATTTTATGAATGCAGGAATCATGTTTCAGATAAGTCCCGAGGCAACCTGCAAGCATGCAATAAAAACAGCTTAAATAAGTTTAAGAATAGTACGAACAAAATCTAAGATTGGCTTTACAAAAATAACACAAAGAAACACTCAAGGCAGAGACCTAATCACACACACACCCCACACTGATGGAAAAGATAAATGATCTACATTTGTTTCCAGAAAGATCAGATAGTGGATCTCAAGAAGGATGCTGTTCCATTAGGGTTGTCAGGTCATGATCATCCTGAGAATTCAAGGCCTAAACCTGAAACCTGGGAGTTGCTGTGGGCAACAGAGGCAGCAGAACCTAACTCCTGCTGCCGCTCTTCACATATTCTGCTCACTTCTGCCACCCTGCACTAGATGCACAGTCAGACTCATAACCCCATCCTCCCTTTGAGCCTAGCTCAGTTCTTTTCCTTTCTCTGCACTCCCTCTGAGCCCTGGAGTCAGAGGTTAATTGGGGAAAGGGAGGAGGGCAGACTCCCTGGAGTATCTATGCAATAATTTGCAGAGGCGGAGGTTAATTGGGAAAGAGAGTCTATGCAGTAATCTGCAGTTGACACCTGCCAGGCTGAAGCTACATGCACAGTCTACTTATTTTTTAAAAAATGGCATTATCATCCACTTGGAGAGTCAAGCCCTCCACCTGTGACCTGGAAAGGGACAGGCGAATTTTGAGACTTCAGCTCAGTCCTGGAGGTCTGGCAACCCTATGTTCCATAACACAGAGGAATGGGAGTGGTTGTGGCGTGGACTTTTTCTATTTAAGGGACTGTGTTACAAGCATATGCTTTTGGGGACCACAGTCCACTTTCTCAGATGCATGGGATGCCATCCTAAATTGGCAAGTATATGAATGTGGCCCTCTTGGCTTCTCTGTGTGGCCCTTCGAACTCTCTCCAGACCACACATCTCACCAGCTCTGTTCCAGGTCCTCCATGAGTGACTAAACTATGTCTCTGTACTGTGGAAATTCCTCTTCCATTTGTTTGTTTTCTGTCCTTTGCCCTAATATTAGAGGGCGGTTTACAGCATAAAATGTAATATTATCTTCTCAAACAAGGTTGCAAGTCCTTGCCTTTCCCCATAATCTAAATTACCCCTGGAGCTGGTTCTAGCTCGGTTCATGCCAAAAAGGCAGGCATAAACTGCTGTTAGCTCCAAGAGGGTGGAGAGCAGGGCAGCGCAAACTCTAATTTGGACCCAAATCATGAAAACAAAGAGGGGCATGCTCTGCTGGGTGCTATAAAACTTGAGGGATCTAAAGGAGCCTTCCTCAGAGGCAACCTTAGACACAGATCCCCTACCCACATAAATCCAGGTGGTGGTTGTCTTGCTAGTTACAGAAATTAGGAGAGGGTTCTGCCCCTTTGCACCACTTGCTCCACCCCTCCGCATCCATTTTCGCAATCGCCCTTGGCATTGTGATGCCTTTGAAGTGAGTAACCTGGGGACATGCTTGTGTTTAGCAAGGTGTTCCTGAACCACTTCCATTGACAGAGAGGCACTGGAATTTGCTCTTTCCCAAAAGAAAGCAACAGCACATGGATCACAGGACACGTGAGCTGGGATCAAAACATTCATTTTTTCCTAACCTTCCTTAGTTGCCCGATTCTTCGACAGGGCTTGCACAACCTTAAAAGAACTCCAGCGGCTCGTTGGCCAACTTCTATTTTCAGACGCTCTTGGGCTTCCTGTGTGTTTGCTGCAACCGGAGCCTAAAAAAAGCCCAGCCACCCTCAGATACTACTACAGTGTTCCAAACAGTATGCAGCTTATAACATTGGGAAACTGCAGACACCGGAGATAACAAGCATCTGGAACCAGGAGATAACAAACAACTGGAAGCACCCGACCAACATTGGAGAACATGCTGCTAATCTTCAACTTTTTCATGATTCTCCTGCAAATACTGATCATTTCCTTTGCCCTGCTGATCACTTGGGCCATTTACTGTGATCTCTCCAAGTCTGAGATTCCTCCTGGCATTGACCAGCCTATGAAGCTTCGCATTCTTAACTGGCTCTTGATCCTTGCATCATTCCTGGTAAGTTTTTCGTGTGTTTTTTAACGATGGAACCTTTTGTTTTTAAATTGCCTCTGTGATTAGGAATATAGCAAGCTGCCTTAGAATCACAGAATTGTAGAGCTGGAAGGGACCCCAAGGGCCATCTAGTCCACCCCCCTGCAATGCAGGAATAGTGAGTCAGACCATTGGACTATTTTGCTCAGTATGCTCCACATTGACTGGAAGGGTCTCTTCCAGGTTTCAGGCAGGAATCTTTCTCAGCCCTACCTGGAAGCGCCAGGGATTGAACTTGGGACTTGCACACAAGGGTGATGCTTTAACACTAAGCTATAGTCTGACTCAAGCTCGCATCCATTAGGATATCAGGGTTGCATGTTATATGGAACAGGAATGGACCTTTAAAGCCCTAAAAGGCCTCGGTCCAGTATATCTGAAGAAGCGTCTCCACCCCATCGTTCTACCTGGACACTGAGGTCCAGCACTGAGGGCCTTCTGGCGGTTCCCTCACTGCGAGAAGCCAAGTTACAGGGAACCAGGCAGAGGGCCTTCTCGGTAGTGACGCCCGCCCTGTGGAACACCCTCCCACCAGATGTCAACTACCAGACTTTTAGAAGACATCTGAAGGCAGCCCTGTTTAGGGAAGCTTTTAATGTTTGATGTGTTACAGTATTTTAATATATTTTTTTGGAAGCCGCCCAGAGTGGCTGGGGAAGCCCAGCCAGATGGGTGGGGTATAAATAATAAATTATTATTATATATGATGATGATGATGATGATGATGATGATGCTGGACTCCAGCTCCCACGAGAGCCAGCAGAGAACATGGGCACTGAAGCCCAACAACAGCTGGAGGTCTCAAGCCCCCCCATCCCTAATACACGACAACTCTTTTAACTTCTTGCAAGTCAGTTTGGAAAGAGAGATGGTTTGGTATGAAGCAGTCTATGTCTATAGAATACCCATAGCCCAGTAGCTCAACAACTGCTTTGCATGCAGAAGGTCCACAAATTCAATCCCAACCATCTCCAGGTCAGGTTGGACTGGGCTTGGGAATGTCCCCTGCCTGGAAAGCCACCACCAATCAGTGTAGATACTGATGAGCCAGATAGACCAGTGGTCTGACTTAGTATAACAGAGCTTCCTGTTTTCAGATGGAATTAAATACGATAGGAAGGGGAAGTATGTAGGCTGAATGAAAGAAATATGTAAATACAGTTGTGCATGCGATCTTCCCTGGCATAATCTTGAAACTCATCGTAGAGTATTTGTGCTGCACGAAGAAGGTCCCAGATTCATACCCCAGCTTCTCCCACGGCCAAAGCAGGTGCAGGCAAGAGTGAACTAGGTGGACTCCACAAAAGCAGCATCCCATGTGTCAATAGGAGGTCATAAAAATTGTGTGGCGCAGAGAAAGCGGATAGGGGAAAGATTTCTCCCCTTCTCTCATAAGACTAGAACTCATGGACCTCCAAGAAAGCTGAATGTTAGGAGATTCTGGACAAATAAAGGAAAGCACTTCTTCACGCAGTGTATAGTTAAGCTATGATACTGTCTCCCACGGGAGGCAGTGATGGCTACCAACTTGGACGGCTTTAGAATAAGATTAGACAGATTCATGGAGGATAAGGCTGTCACTGGCTACTAGCCACAGTGTCTGTGTTCTGCCTCCATGGCCAGAGGCAGTAATGCTTCTGAGTACCAGTTTCTGGAAACCACAGGAGGGGAGGATGCTCTTGAATGCTCCTGTGTGTTCAAGTTTCCTTCAGGTCCACCATGGTGAGGCCAAGGTGCCGGACTAGATGGGCTCTTCTTATGTATGCCTGTTGACCATGTGGCTTTCTGGGCTCCATCAAGGGGGAAAAGGGTAACGTATGAGTTCAAAGAATCCATCCTTCCTGATTATACCCCAGCACAAAGGACCATGGCAGGGACTGTGGAGCAGATGGAAGGTTTGGTTCAGAAAGAAGCTACGGAGGAAACGGCAGCCCTAGCAAGGACTGCAGTGGGCAGTCTTGCTTTCCTAGGATGATGGTTCCCTTGAGCCAGAAGGAGAACTACTGATGAAAGAGGTAGTGGTGGCAGGAAGAGAGCATGGCTGGAGAGCTGGAAGGTTGGAGAGGCTACGGCCGAAGGGGTGCTACAAAGGCCAGCCCTGTTCCATATATAGTGGTACCTCGGGTTACAGACGCTTCAGGTTACAGACTCTGCTAACCCGGAAGTAGTACCTCAGGTTAAGAACTTTGCTTCAGGATGAGAACAAAAATCGCGCAGCGGCAGCAGGAGGCCCCATTAGCTAAAGTGGTACCTCAGGTTAAGAAGAGTTTCAGGTTAAGAACGGACCTTCAGAATGAATTAAGTTCTTAACCAGAGGTACCACTGTAGAGAAGCCAACTAGACTCAACAGCCTCGGTCCTGAAGGAGCATCTCCACCCCCATCGTTCAGCCCGGACACTGAGATCCAGCACCGAGGGCCTTCTGGCGGTTCCCTCATTGCGAGAAGTGAGGTTACAGGGAACCAGACAGAGGGCCTTCTCAGTAGTGGCGCCCGCCCTGTGGAGCACCCTCCCTTCAGATGTGAAGGAAATAAGCAGCTATCCTATCTTTAAAAGACATCTGAAGGCAGCCCTGTTCAGGGAAGTTTTTAATATTTAATGCTGTATTGTTTTTAACACTCGATTGGAAGCTGCCCAGAGTGGCTGGGGAAACTCAGGATGGGCTTGGTATAAATAATAAATTATTATTATTATTATTATTATTATTATTATTATTATTATTATTATATAACAGGGACGTGGCAGTGTCCTCCATGGGACTTGGGGGCCACCCCCAAACACAGCACTCTTTGGAGCAATAGTAGATTATGGTTCACATTGTGTTTTTGCGTCTTCCCTGCTTCTTCAGTCGTGTTCTTGTGGGTGCTTTCAGGAACTACAGCCCCAGGAGATATAAGACTTTCACCAAAGTACTGACCAGCACAAACAGAGCTTCCAGTGCAGCACAGTCTAAACAAACCCAGTTTAAACATAGGGGGGCAGTGTGTGTCCACACACCAGAAGTAAGGGAAAGGTCAATATCACAGGGTGCCATGCACCAGAGCAGAGTAACTAGACTCGGGAAATAAGACAGAGATCCGTGTTGCTTCCAGAACCAGGAAGGCATTATATACCCTGGCCTCCTGACAGGAGGAACACAAGAAGAGCCTGCTGGAACAGGCCAATGGTCTAGCATCCTGTACACCCAGATGCCTGTGGGAAACCAGCAAGTGGCATTCGAGCACAAGAGCCTCTGCCCTTCTTTCACTTCCCAGCAATTGGTATTCAGAAGCTTTGCTGCCTCCAACTGTGGCAGCAGAGCATAGCCGTTGACAGATTTATCCTCCATGAATTTGTCTCATCCTCTTTGAGAGCCACCCACGGCTGCTGGCAGTGAAGGAGTATCAGGTAGGCCTGAGGCCTGGGCGATGTACTGATGTATGAAGGGCAGGCCGTGAAGGCTGCTTCACCGGGCGGTATATTACAGGTGAAACCGCCTCCGCTCCTGGGTCCCTCTGCTACCAGTGTCACTTTCAACACCAGGCCACTGGTAGCAGAGGGACTCAGGAGCAGTGGCTGCTTCACCCGAAAGTTACGGTCGGGTGAAGCCACCATCGTTCTGCCCCTCACACCGCAGAGGGAGGAGCAAGCTGTATCGCCAGGCTGATACAGCTTGTTCCTTCCTCTGCTGTTTTAAACTGCTCTCACCTGCCAGCTAAGCAAGCCCTGTGTGGTGTAGTGGTTAAGAGCAGTAGACTCGTAATCTGGTGAACCGGGTTCGCAACTCCGCTCCTTCACATGCAGCTGCTGGGTGACCTTGGGCTAGTCACACTTCTCTGAAGTCTCTCAGCCCCACTCACCTCACAGAGTGTTTGCTGTGGGGGAGGAAGGGAAAGGAGAATGTTAGCCACTTTGAGACTCCTTCAGGTAGTGATAATGTTGGCTATCAAAGCCAAACTCTTCTTCTTCTGATGCCTCGTATGCAAGCTGGAGAGGCATGGGGCATGCTCAGTTGGGGGGCGAAACCAGTTTCATGCTCAGCTGGGGGGCAGGAGCCTTCCCTCTCCCTAGCTGAGCCTCAGAAAGAAGTCCCGAGGTCCCTGCGGGGGACTCGCTTAGCTGGGAGGAGGGAGCCCTCCCACTCCCCAGCTGAACCTCGCAAACAAGTTGCATTGTCCCGGCCCATGAGGCACTGTGGTGAAAAGTGCCTCAGCTCCCATAGTGAGAGCTGTGGCAGTTTCACCTAGCACCTCTTGGGCTGGGGCCATTGCAGCTTGTAGTTTCAGCCTCGCAGTGTATCGCCAGACCACAATGCTTGGCTGATGATACATCATGATGTTGAAAACCTGACATCTCCCAGCCCTAGTGTCAGGGCTTGCTTACTTACGAAGAGACACCTCACTCACAAGTAGACTCAGTGTTGGCCTCAGGGGGCCCTGCCTGCTCCTCAGTATCCTCAGACTGTGAGGTGTCTTGTTCATCCGCTAAGAACTCGGAATCTGGCACTCTGCTAGGGCTATACATGACAATGACAGAAATAGGGAATATAATCATCATCATAATAAATTTTATTTGTATCCCGCCCTCCCCAGCCGAAGCCAGGCTCAGAGCAGCTAGCATCATATAAAGAAGAAGAAGAAGAGTTTGGATTTGATATCCCGCCTTTCACTCCCTTTAAGGAGTCTCAAAGCGGCTAACAATCTCCTTTCCCTTCCTCCCCCACAACAAACACTCTGTGAGGTGAGTGGGGCTGAGAGACTTCAGAGAAGCGTGACTGGCCCAAGGTCACCCAGCAGCTGCATGTGGAGGAGCGGAGACGTGAACAAGACAAGACAAGACAATATGCATAATACAATATGCAAATAAAACAACATTTATTAAAATAATATAGAATAACATTAAATATTAGCATTTCAAGATTTAACAGAAATCCACTCCTAACAGTTACAATAAGTAACTGCAGTGGGGCAGAGTGGGAGAATGATAGCAGTTGCTGGAAACCACAGGAGGGGAGAGGGCTCTTGTGCTCAGTTACCTCTTGAGGGCTTCCCAGAAGAGACATCTGGTTGGCCACTATGAGAACAGGATGCTGTGCTATATGGTGCCATTGGACTCTTCTTAGGAGAATGGAAACATCCAGCACAGGAGAGAACACACTCTTTGGAATTCATATCACCTCCTCTCCTCTCACTGTATTTTTCTTCCAAACAGGGGAAGATTCTGGAGAATCTCCACCTGTGCACTGAGATTCACTTCTACCGCTACATCCAAGAAGTAAAGAGGATGGGGGAGGACCCCAAGCTTGACATTAGGGACCTGGTGTTTGAGGACATCCCAGTAAGGGTTTACCAGCCACGGGGCCCAAGAGAAAGAAGAGGAGTCATCTACTTCCATGGAGGATCTTGGATGTTCGGCAGCATCAGTAAGGCATCCTGAAAAGTCAGCCACTTCCACTTGAGGAAGGCATGGAGCAGAGGTGTTGATGGGTGTGGCCTGGGGAAGAGGGTATCTCACCTGAGATGGCCAAGGGTCAAATAGAAAGGACTTGAGGGCTTCATTTTGTCCATGGACCTGAGGATCCATAACTCCATCTCCCTGAAATGCAACATTATAATAGTTCTCATCCTTATTAGACAGTCTTCATTTATTTCTATTTAGGATGATAGATGATGATGGTAATAATAACTAATTATTTATTTTTATTCATCATTATATTGTAACATGGGGACAATTTTCAAGGCTAGGGAGGAAATGGTTAAACTTCTCTTTCCCCACATGCTGTGGGACGGCATTTTTTGTATTACTTAAAAAGAAGCTAGTCATGGTTACTAATAATGAAATAAATGTAATACCTAGTTCATCACCAAGATAAATACTGTCTGTAGCATTGAGAAACAACTGAATTTGTCTTGGATCAAATCTGCTTTTCCTATTTGATTTGTTATTCAGGTCAAAATCAGATCTCTGAAATCTGATGCTCTGCCCCCGGCCCCATCAGTAATCTAAAAGAAAAGCTATATTTTTTTCCTGCAGAAGTGAATGAAAGTTGCAGGCAAATTTGCCCTTATAGACTGAAACTGGATAAACTGCAAGCAAATCCATCCAGGTTTTTTATTTTTATTTTTTTAGCAGTTTTTCTACAAGGAAAGATTTGACCATTTTGGTGTGGGCAGTCAGTCAAAAAAACCGGAGACATGAAGCCAAAGAACAAGGGAGATGGTCCTCCAATGGATGAGAAAAGGAGCAGGTGGAAATAATTTTCAACAGGGGAAATGGCTCAACAGGAAAGAAGTTACTCCACTGTGTTGGTTGTTGACGTCAAAAAGTAACCTTAGCCAGGGAATCAGTAGTACGTACAGTTGGTTCCACATGTCAACAACATCATTGTTTATCAGTACCAGTTTGAACTGCTTGTTTTTTTAGCAAATAAGATAGAACCACCTACACAACTGCCCACCTAACAGTTCAAAAGCACATCAAAGTTCAAGTAGATAAATAGGTACCGCTCCAGCGGGAAGGTAAATGGCATTTCCGTGCACAGCTCTGGTTTGCCAGTAGCGGCTTAGTCATGCTGGCCACATGACCCAGAAGCTGTATGCCGGCTCCCTCGGCCAGTAAAGCAAGATGAGCGCCGCAACCCCAGAGTCGTCTGCGACTGGACCTAACAGTCAGGGGTCCCTTTACATTTACCTACACAGAACTTTAAAAAACAACAAGAACACAACCTCACATTTGACCTTAAGCTTTGAGCTGCAACCTTAAGGGACAAAAATCAAGTCTGGGGCTCTAGCTCTGGGACCAACCTCTGATTTGTCTGTGGCAATTTCCTCTGCAGCACTTGAGGGAGGATAGAACAGTTGGGCTAGATGAAATGAGAAAGATTTTTGCAGTAATTGAGGGATGAATGCTGTTCTGGTTGTGGATTTCTGTCCATCTAACTCAGTGTTGGTACCTGTGATGGTTGGTGCCTACTGGGACTGGTACGGTGGAAAGCAGGGAGGCCAACAGTAGCCAAAGCCAATGACAGGCAGACTCAACTAATTCTAGTTTTGTCTCCATCCTCCTCCTCCTCTTCCTCCTTGCAAGGGAAACAATGAGACCAAGAAGGAGAAAGGTGATAGTCAGTGCCACTGGCTGAGATCAGACTGAGGATGAGTTTCTCATGCTACACACACACACACAGAGAGAGAGAGAGAGAGAGAGAGAGATGTCCTTATGGATGATTAGAGAGGGAAAAGTCTTCATGCCTTCAGATCCCAGAAGAGCTACAAGTGTTGTCTGTTTGTCTGTTTCCCCTTCTTCTTCTTCTTAACTTTATTTTTCAGTTTCTAAAAATACATATAACAGATCATCTCCATATACCCCTATGCAACAAGTAACATTCCAGGTGTATATGATGTAAATAATGCAACCAAACATTCAGCTTGCAAATAGAACAGATTACATCAGTTGGGTATCTTCCTACTCTCCATCTTAACAGATTGTCCCAGAGTGAGCCGGGAATAGCTGGCGGTGAGGAGCTCACCTTGTCCTTTCAAGTGTACTGAAAAATGCATAACATACAGTTTGGGGTGGGGAGCATGGAATGGTCCTTGTGTCTCTGAGCATTCTAAGATGCTTTGTTGGTTTCCTCATAAAGGGCTATAAATGAATAATCTTGAAGTGCTCAGGTGCACAAAGACCAAAGGCGAATCATATTTAGCTCATTTGGCAGATCATTAAATTATTAACCTTAGAGTTGTGAGCAGGGCCATCTTAAGTATATCTATGGGCAAGATGCCCCTGGTTGAACAAAATGTTGAAGAAAAGATTCCTGCATTGCAGGGCTTGGACTAGACAAGCCTTGTGGTCCTTTCTAACTCTACCATTCTATGATTCTACTATTTTGAAACTGTATGGAACATGTTTGTTGCTTTGGTTGTTCTAATTGGAATCATTTGCCTTCATAACACCTGTATTAATCCCAACTTTCTGCTAGGATGAGACGGCCTCCAGAACTCTTCTAACATGGCCCACACATCTTGTCTTTCCAGATTCCTATGACCGCCTTTGCCGCTACATTGCTAAAGAAAGTGATTCGGTGGTGCTTTCTGTTGGGTAAGTAAACAGACCCTGGGAACTGACTAATAGCGTTATACTGCTGAATTTGCTAAACGCTGCAGGGATTCCACCACTGGCACCTGCCTGGTCACACATTCAGTGGACAGAATGTGGAGTTCCCAACTGGCATCACTTAATGGTGGACCCCAGCAGAAGGCTATCTCTTCCCAACTGAAACACACCCAGCCCAATGAAAAGTAAATTCAGATTGCAGTGCCTGATGGGAAAATGGCTTTGAGTTTGGGGTTGGATCCTATTCAGAGTAGGCCCATTAATGTTAATGACCATGAGTAACTTAGGCTTATTAATTGTAATAGGTCTACTCAGAGCGGAACCTAGCTGGCTACAACCTTTCATTATGAGCAGGCATAGGCAAACTCAGCCCTCCAGGTGTTTTGGGACTACATTTCCCATCATCCCTGACCACTGGTCCTGATAGCTAGGGATCATGGGAGTTGTAGTCCCAAAACATCTGGAGGGCCGAGTTTGCCTATGCCTGATTATGAGCCACGTATGGTTGAAATCATGTGAGTTAAATGTGTATAAGAAGTGATCCTATTGTGCTGTTATTTTGGTTTGGTTATTCTGGCCAGATTTGTCTTATATACAAATAAATCATATCCCAGGTATCATTTGGCCCCTGAGGAGAAATATCCATCCCAGTATAAGGACTGCCTGACTGCCAGCATACATTTTATGAAAACCGCCAAAGATTATGGAGTCGACCCGGCCTGCATCGTCATCAGCGGAGACAGCGCCGGAGGGAATATTGCCGCCTCTGTCTGCCAGGCATTAGTGACCAGATCTGGTATCCCGAGGCCACTTGCTCAGATTCTGATCTATCCTGGCCTCCAAGCGATAGATTTCAACCTGCCTTCGTACCAGCAAAACCAAGCCATCCCCATCTTGTACCGGGAGAATGTCATTGGCGCAGCCTTGCGGTATCTCAATAAGGACTTGTCAGTGTTAGAAAGCGTTATGCAGGGCTGCCATGTTCCCAGAGACATGAGAATGAGATTTGGGAAGTGGATCAGCTCGGAAAACATCCCCAGTGAGTTTAAGGTCAGAGGCTACAAGCCACCTATGGCCGCTTCCTATGAGGACAACCTCTACGAAGTGGTGAAGCAAGCGCTAGAGCCAACTTTCTCTCCGCTCATGGTAGATGACGTTGTGGTCAGCCAACTTCCAAAAACATGCATCGTAACTTGTGAGTATGATGTGCTACGGGACGATGGCATCCTCTACAAGAAAAGACTGGAGGACAATAGGGTACCGGTCACCTGGTACCACATTGAAAATGGATTTCATGGGGTGATAAGTCTATTTGATGGATTTCTATCATTTCCTTCTGGGAAAAAGGGGGTAGACAGCATTATAACATTTCTAAAAGACTTATGAGCATTAAAAAAAAAGTCATGATTTGTATCTCTGACTTCTTATGATCAACAGCAACTATCTTATTTATCTTTGAATAGACATGAAAGGATCTGCTCATTTTGGCTTCTCCCATATTTTTAACTGCACTTCACACCATTTCTGCTTCAGGTGGTGGTTTTAAACAATGGCAGAAGTTATGAGGAACGCAGAGATGCAGGGATACTTTTCTTATTGTAAAACGTGCTCTACAGATATTTAAAAATAAGACAGCTCCTGCTTGCAGGCTTGCAACCTTAAAAATGTGATATAAAAGGATAAAGGAATGAGGAGGGAAGAGGAAAGCAAGCATTGGGAGCAGCTGTCCCTTCACTGCCCAGTGGATGCAAGAAGGGTTGATTTCTACTTTGCCCTGATGTTTTTCTGGGAAGAAGAGGCTCAGCTGCTCACCTCTAGCACGAAGAACCTTTTGGACAGCCTTGCTGCCATGGGCATTATGTGAACTTGCCTTTTAATGAACCAAATGAAAGATTTTGAATCATGGGGATGGGGAGCGTGTGTGTATGAATTTGGCAGCACTTGGTTGTTATTTTGTTAATACGGTTGGCGTTGTTTCATAGATGATGAATGCCATAATTGAGAGCATTTGCAGATGACTTAGTATTGACGTTACAGGAGCCAGAATCTAGCACCAAAAGGGTTTTAGAACTGATTCAAGAATTTGGTCAAGTCGCAGGATTTAAATTGAATAAGGTAAAAACTAAGGTTTTAGAGAAAAATTTAACACCAGTAGAGAGAGAGAGGTTTCAGAATGAGACAGGTTTAACAGTGGTTAAGAAGTTAAATACTTGAGGATTAACTTGACAGCAAAAAATGGGAACTTATTTAAAGATAACTATGAAAAATGCTGGGCTGAAGTGAAAAAAGATTTAGAAATTTGGTCAAATTTGAAGCTTTCACTGCTGGGTCGTATTGCTGCTGTAAAAATGAATGTATTGCCTAGAATGTTGTTTTTGTTTCAAACATTGCAAATTGTGGACAAAATGGACTGTTTCAAGAGGTGGCAGAGAGATATTTCTAGATTTGTCTGGCAGGGCAAGAAGCCCAGAATAAAATTTAAAATACTAACAGATGCAAAGGATAGAGGTGGATTTGCCCTGCCAGACCTCAAACTTTATTATGAATCAGCAGCTTTCTGCTGGTTGAAAGAATGGCTGCTTCTTGAAAACACTGACATTTTGGATCTAGAAGGCTTTAACAATGTATTTGGATGGCATGCATATCTGTGGTATGACAAGGTCAAAGCACATAAAGCATTTAAAAACCATATTGTCAGGAAAGCACTGTTTAATGTTTGGATAAGATACAAGGATTTATTGGAAAATAAAACTCCAAGGTGGCTGTCACCGATGGAAGCGAAAGCCTTGAAAAAGCTCAATATGGAGGTCAAATGGCCGAAATATTGGGAAATTTTGGAACAGATGGAGACAGATTGAAATTGCAGAGTTTTGAAAAACTAAAAAACAAAGTGCGAGACTGGCTTCATTATTATCAGATAATGGAGGCATACAATTTGGATAAGAAAATCGGCTTCCAGGTGGAAAAATCAAAATTAGAAACAGAATTGTTAGAACCCAAAACTAAAATTTTGTCAAAGATGTATAACTTGCTGTTGAAATGGAATACTCAGGATGAAACGGTGAAATCTGCTATGATTAAATGGGCACAAGACGTTGGACATAATATTATGTTTGCTGACTGGGAACAGTTGTGGACCACAGGTATGAAATTTACGGCATGTAATGCCTTAAGAGAAAATATTATGAAAATGATATACAGGTGGTACATAACCCCAGTCAAGCTTGCAAAAATCTACCATTTGCCTGATAATAAATGTTGGAAATGTAAAGAAACTGAAGGTACATTTTTTTCACCTTTGGTGGACGTGCCCAAAGATTAAGGCTTTCTGGGAGATGATATATAATGAACTAAAAAAGGTATTTAAATATACCTTCTTGAAGAAACCAGAAGCCTTTCTCCTGGGCATAGTCGGCCAATCGGTGTCAAAAAAGGACAGAACTTTCTTTATGTATGCTACAACAGCAGCAAGAATACTCATTGCAAAGTATTGGAAGACACAAGATCTACCCACACTGGAGGAATGGCAGATGAAAATGATGGACTATATGGAATTGGCGGAAATGACTGGCAGAATCCGTGACCAGGGAGAAGAGTCGGTGGAAGAAGATTGGAAGAAATTCAAAGACTATTTACAGAAATATTGCAAAATTAATGAATGTTAGAATGATGTTGGATTGAAGTTAAGTGGTTTCTAGCTGTACAGGCACAAAAGAATATGGAAAAATTGGTTTTTAATATGTAAAATGTAAAATTTAAAGTTACAATATATCAAGATTAAAGATTAGGATTAAAAAGGAGGGAAAGGAATTGTTGGATTAACATATTTAATTAGAATACAAAAGAGGGAGGTAAGAGGAGGTCCGGGAAACAAGTAAACGTAAAAGAAGTGAGGAAAAGATGAAATTGTTTTTAATTGTTTTTTCTTTTTTTACTTTGTATTTTTTCTTTTCATTGTTAAATTTTTCTTTACTAATGTGGTTTTTCCCCCCTTTGAAACTTTAATAAATATTATTTTTTTAAAAAAAGATGAATGCCATAGTACTTTGTGAATCCTATAATTTGACTTTTTTACAATTGCGCTGTTTAGCTTATTTTTTTAGTTGTTTCGGCGATGGTGTTCTATGGGAGGCAATTGCTTTACTCATGCCGTTAATTGTGCTGTATTTGTGTTGTTATTGTTATTTATTGTTCGTAAGCTGCTTTGTGATTCATTGGAATGAGAAGCATATAACAAACAAATAAATAAAAGAAATCAGTGCCCCTGCGTCACCAGGCTGTTGGTAGCAGGGCCCAGAATATGTCTCCCTGAATTTCAGCAGCCTTGGGGAACTCTTATGCTATGATAAGACTTTTTGAGAGAACTTATGGAGTGGTTTACAAAACACACATATAGGGGGTGGGACTGTGCCCACTAGTCTCCCCCTCCTTCAACACACATTTGTGCCAGTGGCGGACTCTGTTCTTTAACATTTCAGCAGCACCTTGTGCAAAGCTAAAATTCAGCACCCCGATGCCTCTCGTCTTCTGTTCTGCTCCATTCACTGCATTATACTTGTGAAGCCCTGTAGCGCCCTCTAGTGTTGGCTCCCAGTGCAGCAGAGCCAGTCGCACCAAAACCTGCTTCTGTTTGTGCATACCTTCTTAAAAAAACCCTACACACATTCTGAAAGTACTGAGGGCTTGACCAGTGACTGTGATCCTGTCTTCCTACACACAGAGAGAGAGAGAGAGAAAGAGAGAGAGAGAAAGAGAGAGAGTGTTTAGTTTCAGAAAATGATTGTGTAGCATCTACATGGTTCTTGGTTCAAAACCCACCCACAACTCCAAATTTGTTGCATGTGTTTTTGTACATTTCAAGCATTCCAAAAAGTTGATGAGATGAACTTTGGAGAAGCTGTACCAGTTATTCTACTACAACAAGGCATCCTTTATGACAGGAGTGGGCAACCTGGACTCCAACTCCCATCGGCCCCAGCAAGCGGGGCAAAGCTAGGCTTTATTTAGCAGGGGTCAAAGACCCAGTTTGGCACCCCACCCCATGCACATTTACACACGCGCACACACACAAACACAGGTTGGGAGCGTCAATGGCGCCCCTCTGGAGCCTTCATCCGGGACAAAAAATCTGGGTAACCCTTTCCCCGCCCCCCTCGCCCCGGCCCACCCCGCAGGTACGGCTCCGCCAGCAAGTATGGCCAACCGTCAGGGATGGTGGGAGTTGTGGTCCAATTGCACTTGGAGAGCCACAGGTTTTCCACCTCCGCTGGAGCTGTGTGGAGACTCCTAGATTTAATCATTCTCTCCACCCAATGAGGTGCAACAGAGGCGAAATACTTGGCCCGGCCAGCTCCTGAGCCTAAGTTAGCTTCACTTCGCCGTGCCTTCTGCAGCGCTTCCTGTTCGGGTGTCTCAATAGTCTGTTAACCTGTTCAGCAACCTTGAGGACGCGAAAACCTTTCGCTGGTTCTTTCTTTGCATGCGCAACAACACTTGCCTCTGCTCGGCTTGCATGGGAAAGGGGAGGGGGCGTTTGAATTTCTTGGGGTGGCAATCGAATCCTGCGAGGTTTCGGTCGGTCTCTCTGCTGCTCTGAAGGAACCCGGGCTCGCCTTTCGTTCCCTCCCGCGCGTGGGAGGGGATTAGGGACGCTCCTTCCAGCTGCCTGCAACCTGAGTATCGCAGCCACCGGAGAAAGCAGGAAATAAACGACAGCCCAAGCCAAGTTCGGTGAGGAGGAAAATCCAAGGGCGAAAGCAGGCGCTCTTCCGAGCCGCAGCGACATGGGCTTCCTGCACGCGTTTCTGGTGCTCCTGGTGGCTGCCCTCTTGGCAGCGTTCCTCCTGCTGGTTCTGGGAAGCATTTATTTCGATTACGCCAACTCGGAGATCCCTCCTGGAGTCGAGCACCCGGCCAGGTTGCGAATCATTCACGCCACGCTGATTGGGGCGTCTGTCCTGGTGAGTGGATCGCAGCGCCCCATCCAAAGGCGAGGTTGTAACTTGCGGGAAACCCACGAACTTAACCGCCTCCCCATTCGCCACGCGCCATTGCGCTCTCCTCCTGATTTTAACCTGTTTCTATCCGACATCGCGAATGGTAAAGTAGGCGCCCCCCTGTCGGAGAGGGAGAGATCTAAGGAGAGACGAATTATCGGGCAGGAGGAGGGAAAAGGAAAGGAACGAGCTTGGCAGTGTTTAAAAACGCAACCCAGAAAAGTTTGGCTCTGGTGCTGAACGACTGGGCAGGATTAATCCTCCAGGTTCAGAGTAGCTGCTTGGCGCTAGCATTTCGCTGAACTTTCTGCAATAACTTGAATGAGACTCTGGTCGCATCCACGCTGCACATGACTTTTCCCCTAAGTATCCTGAGAAGTAGGGACGCGGGTGGCGCTGTGGGCTATACCACAGAGCCTAGGACTTGCCGATCAGAAGGTCGGCGGTTCGAATCCCCGCGACGGGGTGAGTTCCCATTGCCCGGTCCCTGCTCCTGCCAACCTAGCAGTTCGAAAGCACCTCAAAGTGCAAGTAGATAAATAGGTACCGCTCTGGTGGGAAGGTAAATTGCGTTTCTGTATGCTGCTCTGGTTCGCCAGAAGCGGCTTAGTCATGCTGGCCACATGACCCAGAAGCTGTACGCCGGCTCCCTCGGCCAATAAAGCAAGATGAGTGCCGCAACCCCAGAGTCGGCCACGACTGGACCTAATGGTCAGGGGTCCCTTTACCTTTATCCTGAGAAGTGCAGTTTGCTGGGACTTGTAGCTCTGTCAGGAGCAAACTACACTTCCCAGGATTCCTTGGGGGAACCCGTGTGCTTTAAACAGTCTGGATGTGACAGCTATCTCTCTCTCTCTCTGTGTGTGTGTGTGTGTGTGAGAGAGAGAGAGAGAGAGAGAGAGAAAGTTTTAAAAATTATTAATGGTGTTTGACAGAACCTCTGGAACATTTTCATCCAAAGGCCAATTACTGCCTGCTGTGGGAGCAGTAATGTTTGTAGCAGGCTCACAGGCAGACTTCGAATGAGTAAATGAAAGAATGAGAAAGAAGAAACTTTGTGAGAAAGAAGGTCAACACAGATATTTTTTTTAAAAAATGCAATTACACAAGACCTTTATATCATGCCCGTCTTTCACTTTGGAGCCCAGGGAACCTAAACATTAACAGATGAAACAGCTGCGCTGAAGTAAAACGGAAGTTAAACTCTCAAAGTCGGCATGGCCAGAGCTGCTGCAATAGTATCACTAAAATTGCACTCCAAGGAAATGGTCTATCTCATGGGAGCCCAAAACTCTGGCCTGATAAAATGGTTTAAAGTCACCTCGTAAAACATATCTGAGGTGAGCACAGACTGAAGGGAGCTCCATTGGCAAGGTGCCGCCACAGAGAATGGTATGCAGTGAGGTGAAGGAGGCATGTTCAATCTTTTCCCGCTCACTCTCTTTCCTGCTGATGCATACCCACCCACACCTGGGCTGCCATTTGCCCTTGAAAGTGTTGTTTACTACATATTGCCCTTTCAGGAGCAGATAACAGTTAATAGGCGGGCGGATTTCCTCCAGGCAATTAGTGTAGGCCCCGAGCCAGATTTGGAGAGGGATTCTGCAGCTCTGTGGTAGCTGCTACCCAGTGTTAAGGTGGAAATCAGAAAGGTGGCACCAGAGCTATTGAGAGGATATTTAAGAAGGATATTGACAAACTGGAATGTGTGCAGAGGAGGGCAAGCAAGATGATTGAGGGTGTGGAAACCAAGCCCTCGATGAGGAACAGTTGAGGGAGTTGGGGCTGTTTAGCCTGGTAAAGTAAAGAGGAGACTGGGAGGTGATAGGAGAGCTGTCCTCAAATTATCTGAAGAGCTGTGGCATGGAAGATGGAGCAAGCTGGCCTCCTAGTGGCGCAGCAATAAAACTGCTAGCACATTTGCAAAGTTAAGCAGGGTCCAGTATGGTTTCAAATTGGATGGGGGACTGAGGGTTGAGATGCCGGCATTGCGGAAGAGTGTGTGTCTGTGTGTTGGACTAGATGACCACCAAGATCCCAGCAGGTTGGTAGGACCCAAACCAGTGGATTCAAATTATAATGAAACCATTCTGATGATAAGAGCTGTTAGACAGTGGAACTGACTCCCTTGGAGAATTGTGGACTCTCTCTTTCATTGGAGGTTGGATCCCCTATAGGGGATTTTGTTGAATTTTTTGCATTGCAGGGTGGGACTGGATGACCCTGGATGGGGGGGGGGATACCTTCCAGCTCCACAGTTCTACAATTGTACAGTTCTATGGAGCCAATGAATTCAACTTTTGCTGAGTTCAACAAGGACAACACTGAGATTAGGGTGATGGTAGAGGAAGTTGATAAACAGGCACGACAGGCAGGCAGGCAGGCAGGGACTCGCTGAGGCGGGGGGAGCAGGGCCTAATTCCCGCCAGTGGATCCGCCTCCATTGCCACAGCTGCTTTTTCTTCAAAGCAATCAGCTGAAGCATGCCTTCCAAAAAGCTAGTTTGTTCATCTAGCCCAGCAGTTCCCCAAAGGGGCAGTGGGATTACCGGGGGGGGGGGTGCTAAGAAGCAAGAGGGATGTAGTGTAGGTGCCAATGAGTATCAGACTTTCAAAAGCTCGATTGAGTTCATCAGTGTTGTTGAATTAAATAGTTTTAATTTGATATTGGATAAATGTGCAATTAGCTGTTTTGAATTTTGTTGCGTTGTCACCTTCCTTAGGAGGTTGCACAAACTGCTGTTTATGAATAAAGCTTGTTATAGAGTAGGGTACCGGTTGGGAACCGGTGGTCAAGTTCATTAGGTCTATATACCATACACATCATAACTAAAACTCCCAATATCAGCCCTAGCACAAATGGCTTCTAAATCCAGCCTGTGGACAGTCCAGGAATCAGTGTGTTTTTATATAAGTAGAATGTGTCCTTTTATTTATAATGCATCCCTGGGTTATTTGTGGAGCATAGGAATTCATTCATTTCCCCCCAAAAAATATAGTCCGGCCCCCCACAAGATCTGAGGGACAGTGGACCAGCCCCCTGCTGAAAAAGTTTGCTGGCCCCTGGTTTACTGCTTAGCCTGTTCTTCTCCCAAATATATCCCAAGGCAGCAGAGATTTCCTTCTCCTAGTTGGGCTAGGTTTTCCTTCTTCTTAATATTCTTTATTGAAAAATAGAAAAAAAAATATTATATATATATATAGAGAGAGAGAGAATAACAATTGTTAATACACACCCATGTAAATAAATAAATAAGACAAAAGAAAAGAAAAAAGCATTTACAAGGTTGTTATTGTACTTATCCTAAACGTAACCTAATGTCAGGATAAATTATTTAAATATCTTGAACTGGCAAAAATGACAGAGACAATTAGGAGACAGCCAAACCAAAAATTAAAAAAGAAGACCGGGAAACTTATAAAGAATATTTTTTAAAAAACAACAACAACAGTGTCCTCAAGTCAGAAGCTGGACATGCTTTGATTAAGTTTTTGCACATTACAAGAAATATTGTAAGTATAACATTCAAATAATAAAAGAAATGGGAAAATGACCAAAGAAGTAGTTTAACAAAAAGATAAGACAGACTCGCTTTGAGGAAGACAGAAGTCTATTGGGAAGGATAATTGGGAATTAAGAATATGGTGGTGTAAGGGGGTTTTTGTGGGGGTTGTAAGAACTTAGGGATTTATGGATGTAGGTATGTTTTTTCCTTTTGTTATTTTATTTTGTTAATTTTTGTGTGTGTTTGTTATTTAAGAAAACTAATAAAAAGCATATTAAAAAAGGAATCTTCTCTTATATCATCACCCTTCATGTCCACCACGCAGGGCCAAATTTAGGTTTGATGAGGCCCTAAGCTACTGAAGGTAATGGGGCCCTTTATATGTCCAGCTGTCCTTTGCCAACAACAAATTGTCACTGTTTTTTGTGTTGAATATTTTAGGGAGAAGGCTAGCAGGCAGGGCCCATTACTTACATCATAGGAGCCTACACAACTCAAAACATTGTTGCTGTATGTAGGTTTTATTTTATTTGTTTTTTATCTTATATTTTGGAAATGTACATCCAGGATTTTTTTCCCCTTTATATTTTTTGGGCCCCCCCAAAAGGGTGGGGCCCTCAGCTATAGCTTCTTTAGCTTATATCTAAATCCGGCATGTCCACCACATAACCCATAATGTTATAATTCTGAAATGATTCCCCCTGTCCTCATGCCCCAGCATGTTTCATCCAAGCTGGGTAGCACTATGATCCTTAGATTTTGAACATCTAAATAGTTGTTTGGATGAACTTGCCACGAGTTAATTCCTATATGACTTTTGTTTCTTCTTCCTGTCCCACTCTCAATAGGGAAGGATCTTGGAAAACCTACATATCTGCACACAAATCCAGTTTGTGCGGATTGTGCGAAACAGCCGGAAACTGGGGAAAGAAAACGCACTCTTCATTAAAGATACAAAGTTTAAGCATGTGCCTGTCCGGATTTACCAACCAAAGACTCCCTCTGCTGGTGGAAGGAGGGGGATCGTGTTCTTTCATGGAGGCGGCTGGGTGTTCGGAAGCATCCGTGAGTTATGTCCAAATGTAATCTGCGTCAACATCTGAATGAAGTGGGGTAACGCATACACAGAGAGCATTTGCAGAGGGATCTCCTCTGAATTAAGACCCAGTTCATAATAAGGTTTCTCCTCAAAATCATCAGCCATCTAACCACACCAAAGCATCCACAAAAATATCTCAAGCCAAAGGGGGCTTTCTGGAGTCAGGATGTGCCTTAACAATCCTACATGCTGCAGCCATCATTTATTGACAAGTTTCAAAGTACCATATTTTTTGCTCTATAAGATGCACCAGACCACAAGACACACCTAGTTTTTGGAGGAGGAAAACAAGAAAAAAAATATTCTGAATCTCCGAAGCCACAACAGCAAGAGGGATCGCTGTGCAGTGAAAGCAGCGATCCCTCTTGCTGTTCTGGCTTCTGGGATAGCTGCGCAGCGTGCATTCGCTCCATAAGACGCACACACATTTCCCCTTACTTTTTAGGAGGGGAAAAGTGAGTCTTATAGAGCAAAAAATACGGTAGTTGTTGATTCCTGTACATCGTTGTTGCTGCTGCTGTTTTGTTTTTTGTGTTTTGTGTTTTGTGTTGTTTTGTGTTTTGTGTTTGTGGTTTGTGTTTTGTTTTGTTTTGTTTTGTTTTGTTTTGTTTTGTTTTGTTACCCCGCCATCCCTCCAACAAGCTCAAGTTGACCTGCACAGTTCTCCCTGCAATTATATCTTCCCAACAACCTTGTGAGATAGGTTAGACCAGTGTTTCTCAAACTTGGGACTCTAGCTATTGTTGGATGCTGGGAGTTGTAGTCCAACAACAGCTGCAGACCCAAGTTTGAGAAACACTGCTTTAGAGCATGGGGTTGGAAACCTTTAACTCTCTTGATGTTGCTGAACTCTAAGTCCCGTCAGTCCCAGCTTGCATTATCAAAGGTGATGAGGGATGATTGAGTCCAGCAACATCTGGAGGACCAAAGATTCCCCATCCTAGCTTTAGAGAAACAACATCAGCCTTCTAGTCCTCATGGGCTCTAGAGGAAAAACTTTGAAATCTTTTTGAAGAGACTTAAAAATCAGAAGGGGGTGGTCAAGGCTTTCCAGTATAAGGCTGGAACTTTGCATCTTGGACCACTTTTCAGTGGGGTTATATTTATTTATTTGTTCCGCTTGTAATTAACCTGCTAATTTAGCCCACCTTAACTCTCTGTTCTTCCTTCAGTCACTGGAAAGTAATGGACAAAAATCTTTTGGGAGGCGGGGCAGTGATCTGCATTTTGGAACTAGAAGAAACTGTAGGTTTGGGATTTATATATTTTTATGGTTTACAATAATGCAATTCTACAATTTTACTGTTCTCTCATCCACTCCCTGTTGGCCAAAGGAGATGGAGTCTGACTGGGACAGGCCCTGATGGAATCTGTGCCTCCTCCCCTCCCTCTCTTCCTTATCATGGGGGAAAACATATTTATTTTCCCTATTTTGTCAAGTGAATATAGTGCAGTAACATCCCCAGGGAGTTTGTTCTCTGTTAATTTTGTTGGCATATATTTTTGGTGGTGATGAGGTTCTTCTCATTAACTGTTGCACCTGGGAGGTACATAATCAAATCACCACATCTTACTAATGAATAAATGGATAACTCTGGGAATATTTTTGTTTTAGAAACCCATGAAAATATCTGCCGCTATTTGGCCCGAGAGAGTGAATCCGTGGTTGTGTCTGTGGAGTAAGTCAATGTTTTCCGCCCCACCCCCAGCCCCCCGTGGTTGTGATGGACTCAACCACAGCATGGCAAAATGTTAAGAGCAGCTCACTTGCCAGCTGGAGAAGGAAGCCTAATTGTGTGGTTGCCCCGTGAGCCGCAACTTACCCTGGCTCTCTGACCACTGAGCAAGTAGGGTAACCCACTGTACATACATGAGAGGCTACTTTATACCATGCCAGACTTTTGTCTATCTAGCTCAGCATTGCTCACCTCAGGGAAAGAGCGCCCTTTGCAGCCCAAGGGGAACATTCCCTTTGTGGACCACCTTCCAGGTCTGCCTGACCATGGAGCAGTGGTGTAGCGTGGGTTGCCAGCACCCAGGGCCATGTGGAACAATGGAGTGGGAAGGAGGGAAACAGACGGAGCATGCATGAGCATTCAACTGCCTAACAGCATCTGTGTCAATGCCCCTGTGGCCCCCTCCCATGCTATGCCACTGCCATGGAGGGTAAGCCCATGTGCCTAAATGGCATATAGGGGGAAATGGGGCCCTGCACCACCAACCTTGGTCTTGATTCCTCCAAGCCCTGCTGCCTTATTATTTACAATCCAGTACCATCATATCAGGAGGTCCATTCCACACAATGTAGGAAGCAGGTTATTGGTATTGTGGCATCTACCTCCTCTTGTTAAATATTACAGGTGCTGTGAAGATATTCCTCCTGCAACAAGCCTTTTGAGAGCCTGCATCTGTATTGCAGCTGCTCTTACGATGTTTTAATTGCTTTTTTCATTTGTGTGCTGGCCGCCCTTAGCTTCTTTGGGAGGTAGGGTAGAATATATTTTTATAGATGATAGATAGATAGATAGATAGATAGATAGATAGATAGAGGTAAAGGGACCCCTGACCATTAGGTCCAGTCGTGACTGACTCTGGGGTTGCGGCGCTCATCTCGCTTTATTGGCCGAGGGAGCCGGCATACAGCTTCCGGGTCATGTGGCCAGCATGACTAAGCCACTTCTGGCGAACCAGAGCAGCGCATGGAAATGCCTTTTACCTTCCCACCTGAGCATTACCTATTTATCTACTTGCACTGGCGTGCTTTCGAACTGCTAGGTGGGCAGGAGCTGGGACCAAACAACGGGAGCTCACCCCGTCGCGGTGATTCGAACCACCAACCTTCTGATCTGCAAGGCCTAGGCTCTGTGGTTTAACCCACAGGGCCACCCGCGTCCCTTTTTAGATAGATAGATAGATAGATAGATAGATAGATAGATAGATAGATAGATAGATAGATAGATAGATAGATGATAGATAGATAGATAGATAGATAGATAGATAGATAGATAGATAGATAGATATAGATAGATGATAGATTAGATAGATAGATAGATAGATAGATAGATAGATAGATAGATAGATGATAGATATAGATAGATGATAGATATAGATAGATAGATGACAGATGATAGATAGATAGATGGTAGGTATGGTTTGTCTGCTTCCTCCTTAATCTCAGAATTGCTCCTGAAGAACTCAGCAGAGAGGAGATAAAGGGAAAGAGTAGAATTAGTTGCCTGTCATTGGCTCTGGCTCCACCTGCTGGTGGGCTTCCTGCCTTTCACCCTATGGGGACTGGCCGTTATTTGATCATTCAAAAGCAGCAGCATCATACACAATCTCAGATGGAAATGATTTACTGTGGATTGATTTTGCCTTAGGTACCGCCTGGCTCCTGAGCACAAGTATCCAGCCCCGCTCAACGACTGTCTTGCTGCCACCACCCACTTTCTGGAGACGGCAGAAGACTATGGTGTGGACAACACCCGTGTCATCATTGCTGGCGACAGCGCGGGTGGCTGCATGGCTGCCTGTATCTCCCAGAGTTTAGTGAATAGACCAGGCCTTGCAAAAGTGCGTGCACAGATCCTTATTTACCCGGGCCTCCAGGCTGTAGACTTCAACTTGCCTTCATACCAGCAAAACCATGCCGTGCCCATTTTATTCAGGGAACGGGCTGCTTTTTACATATTGCAACACGTGACTGGGGAAGCTTCGCTCCTCGAAGATATTTTGGAAGGCTGTCATGTTCCGGTGGACCTGAGATTGAAGTACAAGAAATGGCTGAGTGCAGAAAACATCCCGAGCGAATTTAAAACCAGAGGCTACAAGCCCGTGGCGACAGTTCCCTGTGATGATGAAGTCTACAACAAAGTGAAGGTCCTAAGTTCTTCAGAGTGTTCGCCCCTCCTTGCCGATGATGCCATTGTCCTCCTGCTTCCAGAGACCTGCATCGTGACCTGTGAATACGACGTCCTGAGGGATGATGGATTACTCTACAAGAAAAGATTGGAGGACAATGGCATAGCAGTGACTTGGTACCACATTGAAAGTGGGTTCCATGGGATTCTAACCTTCTTCGACAGAGACTGGTTGAATTTCCCTTCTGGTAAAAGAGGGCTGGACAAGATAGTCAATTTTATAAAGAGCTTATAAAACCAAAAAGCATCTTTCTAAATCGGGGATCTCCGACCATTTTGGACCGGCGGGAACATCCTGAACTTTGAGAGAGTGCTGGGGCACCAGTCATAAAATAGCTACCATGGTGGGGCTATGATATGACACTAAATGGCTGCTAGGGGGTATGGCATAATGAAAAATGACTGCTGTGGGAAGCATGGCATAACACAGAGAGAGAAACACACCCAACCTTATGCCTTATGGGAATTGAGCTATGTTCTGCTGGAAATCACACACACACACACACACACACACACACTGATGCCATCATGGTCTAATAACCACAGGGAGTTTTTCTCAGTATTGAGAACAATATACATATTGAGAACGGTATACGCTGGCTAAGCTACAAGATCTTGGAGAAGGAGTCTGGTAGGGCAAGAGTTAACATCCCCCTGCCTTAAAGAGAGCTCATATGTACATGTTAAGCAGTTTAATAAATTGTTCTGTGCACACATATGTTCATGTGGCAACCCTAATACAGTGGTACCTCGGGTTACATACGCTTCAGGTTACATACGCTTCAGGTTACAGACTCCGCTAACCTGGAAATACCCAGGTTAAGAACTTTGCTTCAGGGTGACCTGGGTTAATAACTTTGCTTCAGGATGAGAACAGAAACTGTGCTCCAGCGGCACGGCAGCAGCGGGAGGCCCCATTAGCTAAAGTGGTGCTTCAGGTTAAGAACAGTTTCAGGTTAAGAACGGACCTCTAGAACGAATTAAGTACTTAACCCGAGGTACCACTGTAGTGCCTATGTTCCAAGGTTGTTGAACCCTTTTAAAAAAAATCTTCATATGGATGATATTCAGGAAAAGAAGCAACCTCAATAAATGTTTGAATGTTGCCAATTTAAGGGCAAGGTAATTGGGAAACAGCTTTGTGTCTTTTGGCTTTTTGTACCAACCTTTTTTCCTGTAGGGGAGCAGTCATGTGACCATTCTTGGCAAACCATTCCTACAAACCCTCAAATGTTTAGATGCTTTTTTAGAGGAGCAAGACTGGAGTCTGTACCCAGTATCCCTGGGGAGCAACTAGAGCCCCAAATCCCTGGGAGGGTTCCCTACCCCGCCCCCAGAATTTAACAAAATTAGAGTGGTGTTCAGAATGTTGGACTAGCATCAGACAGCAAAGAGAGAGAAAACAAAGGACAATAGTCCCACTTCACGGAACACAGTAACACAAACATCCTGTCTCCGTCACTTCCCACTCTGTGGAGTCAAAACATACACGTCACATGAAAGACAACAATCCCATGACTGCAATCACAGAGCAGGAATTCTAACAGGTGTTGGTGTGTCTGCATTCTGACCACCTGGTCCAAAACAATAGCCAGGTAGACACATCAGATTGTATCCGATGTTAGCTCCACTCACAGCAGACCCACAGGAGTTAGCAGATTTGACATACCATAGATCTTTTAATTTCAGTGGGTAAACTCTGAGCAGGACTTAGTTGGATACAACCCATTTTGTACCAACCGACGCTTCTGAGACATCTTCAAAGATAGCCCCACACTAAATGCATTGCCTTGGCAAATAACAAATGCATGGGTAAAGGAGGCCAAATCAGAGTTGCAGTTGGACTACTAGCCTAAGTTGGTTGGGGGTGGGGAGAGTGAGCTCCTAGCCACCACTGCAGCTGCCTGGGCTTCCCTAGAGGGCAATATAGGTTTGCTTTAGTGCATTGTGCTATTTGTGGTAGTGCTGTCTGCCACTAGGTAGAGCATGCTAATGGAAAATGAGGGAATCTGGCTCCCTAAATAAAGCTCAACGACACTGTCAGTTCTTTAATACTGTGAGTAGATCGCAGTCTCTTGGGAGTTGGACGTGCCTGCTGTACACATTTAGCTAAGTGTAAGTTCCAGGTTAACCCAATGGGAGTAGTTTCTGAGTAGGCATGCATAGGATGGTGCCCTTTTCTGTCCAAACCCACACATCTTCACAGTGGTCAGATTGCAATCCAGTTGTGGGTAATCTTCATGTTGCTGGATTCCAGTTCCACCAGCCCCAGCCTATCATGCCTCTGGATTTGGATTCCTCATATTTGGAGGGTAAGCAGCAAGCATTATCCCCTTATTCTGCGTCCATTCACAAACACGTGTTTTGTTGCCTTCAGTGGAATAGTAGAATTGATTTCACCACGGTAGAATCCCTTGTTGCCTGGAGTGTTACCATGGGGATGGTCAACAATAGGCAACCCGAGACCAAGGAACATCAGAGGTTAAATGTCCTGCTCTGCACATACAGAGATGGAAGTCTAGGACCTTTCGAGTTCACTCTTTGCCAAAGCATGTGAACGGGACCATGTTTACTCAGTGTAGAGATGCACAGGAATGGTACACTCCCGGCTGGAAGGTAGAACCCAAATATTCTACTAAAGTACTTATTGGAAACTGGCTGGAAGAAAGAAAAAAGGTAGGTTTGGGAAGGAAAGAAAGAAAGGGAACTAAATCCCAGGTGGTTGCAGTAGAGAGGGGAGGGAGAAGATTGTAATGAAGCATCACTCCACCCCCAACAGCTATAACATGGGATAAAATTGATGGGACACATTAATTTCCTGGTCCATTTCTAGGCACAGATCAAAGGGCTTGCATTCCTATAAAGTATACCTGAAGTATACCTGAAGGAGTGTCTCCACCCCCATTGTTCTGCCCGGACATTGAGGTCCAGCACCGAGGGCCTTCTGGCGGTTCCCTCACTGTGAGAAGCCTAGTTACAGGGAGCCAGGCACAGGGCCTTCTTGGTAGTGGCACCCACCCTGTGGAACGCCCTCCCATCAGATGTCAAAGGAATAAACTACTACCAGACTTTTAGAAGACATCTGAAGGCAGCCCTGTTTAGGGAAGCCTTTAATGTTTAATAGACTATTGTACTTTAATATTCTGTTGGAAGCCGCCTAGAGTGGCTGGGGAAACCCAGCCAGATGGGCAGTGTATAAATAATTTATTATTATTATTATTATTATTATTATTATTATTATTATTATTATGCTCTGTGTGGTTTAGGAACCAACTACTGCAGCTCGACACAGGCAGAAAGTCCCAGGTTCAACCACTGGTCTCTCCAGGTAGGGCTTAGGAGATAACTTTCTCTGAAACCCTGGAAAGCCGCAGCTGGTCAGTGTAGACAATACTGCGGTAGATGGACCCATGGTCTGACTCAGGATGAGCTGGTAGAACAGATGCTTGGCATGAAGGAGGAGTCCCTAGCATCTCCAGGCAAAACTCTCCCCCATCTGAAACCACAGAGAGCTGCTTCCAGTCAGTGTGGTAGTGATAATAATAATAAATTTATTTTTTGTACTCTGCCTATCTGACTGGATTGCCCCAGCCCACTCTGGGTGGCTTCCAAGAGAATATACAAAAACACAGCGGAGCAACATGGATTAAAAGCATCCCAATAAAGGTCTGCCTTCAGATGTCTACAGAAGGTCGTATGATTATGTACACAATTCTGAGCTACATGGACCAATGGAGTGAATTAGTCCAAAACAACTTCCTGCATGACTGTATAAATTTCTCGGGGACCATTATGTTAGAGGTGAGGTGGGTGTGACTACTGGCAGGGTCTTCTCAGTGGAGACCGCTGGGTCTGACAGTTCTCTTCCCAGAGTGGCAACCAGGGCTTGTTGGCACCACATGAAAACCCTTTTGAAAACGCCAGTCATTTGGGATCTCTGGTAATTTTGAAAGCCAGGTTTTATCTGATTGTGTTATTTTGTTTTTGTGAGAATTTGTGTCTATCTTTACTAGGACTACCTTGGACTTTCTGTTGGGAGTTGTGCTTTCCAGCTTATATCGTGGGGTGGTAACATGATAGAGGTGTATAAACATTTGCACGGTGTTTATGCATCGGATTATGCACAATACCAGAACTTGGAGACACCCAGCGAATGTGAATGTCGGAGATCCAGGACAATAGGAAGCACTTCTTCAGAGCTAAACGATGGAATTCACTCGCAGAAGATGGGTGGCTTTAAGAAAGGATTAGACCAGGGTTTCCCAACCTTGGGTCTCCAGCTGTTTTTGGACTACAGCTCCCATGTTCCTTGCTAGCAGGACCAGTGATCAGGGATGATGGGAGTTGTAGTCCAAAACAGCTGGAGACCCGAGATTGGGGAGCACAGGATTAGACAGACTCCAGAAGTTGATGAACAACTTCCACTATGCTGGCTGGGGTTTATGGGAGCTGGAGTCTTATTACATCTAGAGAGTCACATGCTAGCCACTACTGGAGTCCAAGAAGATATGAAGGCCCATTTGTTCCTTACCCCTGCTGTGGAATCTGAGAGGCTCAGAATTTTGCTCCAGGACTCCAAGGTGCGTGAATAAACTATGCTTGCTTCCCAAAGAGTGACTGCCACTTGTCTGCATTTTCATAGTTCATACGTGACCATGAGGGAACCGGCGAAAGCACCTACGACCGAGATTACGTTCGTTACCCAGCTCAGATTCCAGACCGAACAGTGATGAAAAGAATTATGAAGCAGCTGGATGTAAGTAATAGGGAGGGTGGGAAGACAGATCCAGGTCTGGGGCTGCATGTCTCCAAAGGCAGAATGGATTCTTGTGCTAAAGCTTGGCATGTGTTATACTTTAGGGCCTGCCAAAGAAGTACATATTGACCCACCATGAAGAACCGAGACACCATCACTTAGTATCGCAATATGACGATCAATATAATAGGCACGGCTACAACCCTTTGCTGCCTCCGCTTCGCAAATGGAATAGACACAAAATGGCTTGGATCCCAGAGAAGACAGACTACCCACTTGTTGGTATGTGGTAGCATCTCAAGAAAAGGAATAAGAGACAAGGCAACCTTGAAGGTTGACAACAGGGGAGGTTGCTCTCATCATGCATACCAGTCAATCTTTTATTGTATGGTCCTGTTAACCTATTAACATCCCATTGACCCATTAACATCCCAAGAATCTATTCCACGGGGATCCTGTACGAATACTATAGGAACCTCCAGATGTTGATGGCCTCCAACTCTGATCATGGTCAATAGTCATAGATGAAGGGAGCTGTAGTTCAGCAACATCTGAACTATGTTCACACAGCTTCCCCATCCCTGAATTAAAAGAATATTGTAACTAGCAAACCTGTGGCCCTCCAGATGTCATTGTACAGCAGTCCCAGCCAGCATGACCAATGGGCAGGGATGTTGGCATCTGTAGTCTAGTAACGTTCAGAGAGTTACAGGTTCTCCATCTCTTCTACATGCCGTTTGGATTGCCCATCCCTTCCTCTCATTAAGGCCTTTGGTTTATTGACAGGTTTATTCCATCATACGATATATGATATCTTTATTGTCATTGTCCCTTGCGGAACAATGAAATTGAAAACTACATAAAAACTACATAAAACTACCACAAAACTACATAAAACTACATAAAACTACATAAAACTACTAGCATCATCATAATGCCAAGAAAGTCATCCAAACACACAGATTTTAATTTTTATTTTTGCCCTATGCATCACTGTGGGTCACAGGTGGCGCTGTGGGTTAAACCACAGAGCCTAGGACTTGCCTAGGTCGGCGCTTCGAATCCCCGTGATGGGGTGAGCTCCCGTTGCTCGGTCCCTGCTCCTGCCCACCTAGCAGTTCGAAAGCACCTCAAAGTGCAAGTAGATAAATAGGGACTGCTCCGGCGGGAAGGTAAATGGCGTTTCTGTGCGCTGCTTTGGTTCGCCAGAAGCGGCTTAGTCATGCTGGCCACATGAGCTGGAAGCTGTACGCCGGCTCCCTCGGCCAATAAAGCGAAATGAGGGCCGCAACCCCAGAGTCAGTCACGACTTGACCTAATGGTCAGGGGTCCCTTTACCTATGCATCACAGTGCTTGTAATATTCTCCTCACTTGTGTTTCTGCCCGGATAATTCATTGGTTAGATATTTTGTTTGGAAATATTTATATACTGCTTAAGCAAAGCAAACCAAAGCATGAAGCAGTTTACATTAGTGGGGTAGGAGAGCTGAAAATAATGTCAATATATTTCACATCTGGCAAACAATGTGTCCTTTTAGTTTCAGAGAGTACCTGGGTAGGCAAGGCTAAAAAGCCCAGGACACAAATTTTCTCAGCCCTCTAGCATCTATGGTGGTTCATTTACCAGAAGTAATGCATTTAGCATTATCTCTGGAAGTGTATACTCGATTCTGACCAAATGAAGCCTCCTAGAGCATAATATGCATTGGGGGCTTAATACCAACAGTCTGGGAGTTCCAAAGAGTTGGTGCTGCCAGACTGAAGCACTGATTCATTACAAGTGCAGAACGGACATTATGTGACACTTGTAAATGTGCCAGTTGCACAGATGGAAGTGGTTGAGTGGGCAGATATAGGGTAAGGAGATCATTCAAGTAAACCTGTCCCAAGCTGTTGAGGGCTTGAATTTCAAATTCTGAATGGCCAGGTCTTGTTTCTGAATTGGTAAATCAGTAAATCACATCAGAAAAAAAAATGTTGCACAAATCACATCAAAGTTGTTTCCAGCATTTCACCTAACCTAAGGCCCGGGTGCTAAGCCCAGAAATAAATAAACTGCATACTTTCTGTAAGACCATCATCCCAGGAAGCTCAGTAACAAAACAGAGAAGAAGGATAAGCCAATGAAAACAGGTGAGTCTCTAAGGCCACCTCATACGAATTCTAAAGCTGTGGGGCTACTGCAAAGACAGCCCTGTCCCATATGCCTGTCATGAGTGGCAGGCAAATGAGAAGAGCCTCTGTCATTAATCTTAACATGCAGGCAAGCTGCTCTGGGTGCAGGAGAACTTTCAAATAAATACCTCCATCCGTAGAGCAAGGGTGGAGAAACTCAGATCCAAGGTCCTCTCTACTTGGTCCTCTCTACCTGGCCTTCATGACTCTCTCCAGGTCACACCTCCTCTTTAGTCACAGAGGATCCAGAGGAATGGGTGACTGTGTGTAGAAACTAGTACAGTTTCTCTGCCCACTTTTGCCTTTGTCCTCATTTCAGAACCACCAACCAACTATGGGCTTTTCAAGCACATTGTGAAAAAATGGGGCCAGAACGTGCCTGGAGTGATGAACAGCGTCTACATGGTCTCCTACGTCAAGCCACCTAGTACAGCCTATAGCGCTCGCCGGCGGCCTGTCACATTTCACACCCTTGAGGCCAGTGTTCCTCAGTGGCTGCCACGAAGTTCTGTTTAGTCTCTCTGAAAGGGTGCAGACCATCCATGTTTCAGCGCAGAGGTGAATTAAATGTTGTATCTTTACCCAACCAGCTGCAACAATGAGTGCTTTGTGTCAAGTTGTAAGGGTTTGGATAGAATCATGGGACTGCGGAGTTGGAAGAGATCCCAGGGGTCAACTAGTCCAATTTCCTGCAATGCAGGAATCTCAGCTAAGGCATTTGTGATAGGTGGTCGTCCAAACTCTGCTTAAAAACCTCCAAGGAATACCAAGTCATCTGCAAAGGCATTCACTTTATATTCCTTCCAACCGACTGAAATTCCTTTAATTTTTTCATTTTTCCTTATAGTCCTTAGAAAGACTTCCAGTACCGAAATGAATAATAATGGTATAGTGGACACCCTTGTCTTGTACCTTTCATAATTTCAATATTTTCTGTTATTATTTACTATCAATTTTGCTTTTTGATCAGAATATATTGCTTTTATTCCTTTTATAAATGATTGTCCAATGCCCATTAATTCCAAATTTTTTAATCATAAATTTCCAAGATATATTATCAAAGGCCTTTTCTTCATCCACAAAAACTAATATCGCTTGCTTTTCATTCCTGGCCATCAAATATTCAATTATATTCACGATATTCCTTATATTATCTTTCATCTGTTGGCCAGGAAGAAAGCCTGCTTGGTCCTTGTACTGTCAGAACATTCTTCCTGATATTTAGTCAGAATCTCCTTTCTTGTCACTTGATTCCATTGGTTCAGGTCCTAGCCTCCAAAGCAGAAGAAAACAATGTTGGTGGCAGTCATTTAGATAATTGAAGATGGATATTGTATCTACTCTCAGTCTCCTCTTTTCCAGGCTAAACATGCCTGTTATTTGCAACAGGCCCCAGATCTTCTGCTGCTTTCCCTGCTCCCCCCCTCATTTGCATTTGCAGATTGTATGCAAATTTGGGTCATGAGCCTGGGCCACTGAGCCCTTGAAGTAACTATCAGTTCCCTGGTGAACATGCTTATGACAGCTTCATTGCCAAAGCAAGGATCAAGGAGTTAGAGCACACCCACCCCACCATCACATGTATGTCCATGGCCAAGTAAGCCCTACTCAGAGTAGACCCACTGGCACCATTCACCTGGCGAGCTTGTAGCCAGGGCTGCTGCAACAAACAGCTGTGTAAGCCTTTGGGAGGCAGAGACGCGAGAGGCCATCAGAGGAGGGAGGGAAGGAAAGAGGGACAGAGGCCAGTGTTGTCCATGGCACCCCTGACCGTCATTCAAGGCACCCCAGGGTGCCACGGCACACTGGTTGAAAACTACTGCTCGAGGCAGAGTGTGCCGATGCAGTTAAGCTAGCACTTGCAACTTGACTGATCTCAAGGTCTCCCAGGACGCAGTAACCACGACACCTCCCTGGCTCTTAGGTTTATTCAGCAAGCCCTAAACTACCTGGGCCCAATGTATCTTAATTATTTGCTATTCTACATGCTACACTTTGATCACTGACATCTTCTGGCAGGGCACTTTCATTGGTCATCCCATGGCCCTGAGATTTGGCCGGGCTCCACCAGGAACCAAGCCTTTGGAGTGCCAGACTGCCCCCTGCAGAACATCCCACCAGTAGAAGTCCTGCCAGAATCAGTGCTGCTTTCTTTGAGCTATCTTTACAAACCTGTACCTGTTCAGATAGGCCCTTTGGGAGGCTTTTGTTGTTGTTACACAAACCATTCTTAACTGATGATTTGGTAGTATTACATCTTTACATTTTGCGCTGCCTTGGTTTTGCATATTCTTTATTTAAATGAATACAAAAATAACTCTTTAGGCTGGACTCAAACCAGACGACCTTCTTCAAACAGAGAGACGGTCCTCTCTAAAGGCAAAACACAGAGCCACCCTAATGCAAATAAGGTATGCATTCAAGGTGAACGAAAGTCACCGCATTCCTGCCAATTCTCTGGCTCTCAGTGCAACTTGCAAACAAACCTTTCTGTGCCCTTGGCTTCAGTAGACCTTTATGCACCCTTGGCTTTGAAGGTGTGTACATCGCCCGGCGCTCTGGGAAGCACATTACGTACACAAAAGCAGTTGGAGATGCACTGAGCCAGCAGGTTTTGCCTTTGCTTTGTAGAAAATGAGGACACAACCTTCAAGTTAAGGCTGCCAGCCACCTGGTGGTGTGTGTGTTTGTGCGTGTGATAGAAATTACCTGGCCTTTACCTTTAAGTGCTGATGGAGCTGCAAAAACCTACAGCTGACGTGTTTCATGGGATGCAGATAAAGCTTGCCGTCTGCTAATATTTGTAGGTCAAGCCACAGTTGAAAAGCACATAGGCTGGCCACCAGGTTCTCTCAAGGTGAGCTTGCTGTTTTGTTCATTTGCAACAAAGGAAGCTGCCTTATACCGAATCAGCACCTAGCTCAGTATTTTTCTCCACTGGCTGGCAGGGGTGTCTCCTGGCCCTACCTGGGGATGCCAAGATTGAACATGGGAACTTCTGCTTGAAAAGTGGGTGCTGTGCCCTGATTTGCTAGTACAACAGCCATGGCACAGTGCATCCCCTAGCAGGGGTCCTGAAACTCTTACCATGCTGAAGTCTTACAGGTATAGGTAGGCAGCCGTGTTGGTCTGCCGTAGTCAAAACAAAATAAAAATAAAAATTCCTTCCAGTAGCACCTTAAGTAAAGGACCCCTGTCCATTAGGTCCAGTCGTGACCGACTCTGGGGTTGCGGCGCTCATCTCGCCTTATTGGCTGAGGGTGCTGGCGTACAGCTTCCAGGTCATGTGGCCAGCATGACTAAGCTGCTTCTGGCGAACCAGAGCAGTGCACAGAAACGCCGTTTACCTTCCCGCCAGAGCGGTACCTATTTATCTACTTGCACTTTGACGTGCTTTAGAACTGCTAGGTGGGCAGGAGCAGGGACCGAGCAACGGGAGCTCACCCCGTCGAGGGGATTCGAACTGCCGACCTTCTGATCGGCAAGTCCTAGGCTCTGTGGTTTAACCCACAGCGCCACCCGCATCCCGTAGTAGCACCTTAGAGACCAACTAAGTTTGTTATTGGTATGAGCTTTCGTGTGCATGCACACTTCTTCAAATACAGTTCCACTCCTCCAATGGGAAAGAGAGTGTTTCTTTTTCTTTTTTTTGCTTCTTGTACAGAAGTTAAGTCACAAGACGGTCCTGCCCAGGGTGGGAGCAGGGGAGACAGAATAAAGCAGCTGACAACACTGAATATTCCTACTTAAATTATAAATCAACATAGGTGAACTTTGTGCAATTCTCTGGTTCTCTTTGTTGGTGAAGTGTTAGTGTCCATTCTAAACAGAATCCCCAGCCCCAGATGTGCTACTCATAGTCCTGTTAACTTAGGAAAATCAGGATCTGCCTTATACCAAGTCAGACCATTGCTCATCCAACTCAGTATTTTCTACACTGATTGGCAGCAACCAGCGTGGTGTAGTGGTTAAGAGCGATAGACTCGTAATCTGGTGAACCGGGTTCACTTCCCCGCTCCTCCACATGGAGCTGCTGGGTGACCTTGGGCTAGTCACACTTCTCTGAAGTCTCTCAGCCCCACTCACTTCACAGAGTGTTTGTTGTGGGGGAGGAAGGGAAAGAGGAATGTTAGCTGCTTTGAGACTCCTTCGGGTAGTGATAAAGCGGGATATCAAATCCAACCCTGTATGATTTCAGAGTAGCATCTGTCCCAGCCCTGCCGGGAGATGCTGGGATTGAACCTGGGAGTGCCTGTGTGCAAAGGCAGCTGCCTACATTTCTGAGGACTAAGCGATTGATTAAATAACTGATTTTCCTACTCCCAAAGTGCAGCTTTCCCCATTACTGACATCGAGTTAACAGGAAGCTGCACCATTTGAACTTTGGCCTGCAACCAGCTGTCAACAGGAAGCACAGCCAGAAGATGGAGCAGCCGTGTCCTTAATGAAGCATAGTGTACCTTTTACACTAATTAGCAAGCTTCTTTTTCTGGGATCTGGATACTTCACACAGGCTGGCTCGACAGTTTTTATTTATAGGAGAAGTGTCACCGAGCCACCTCTCCCAAACAGCATGTCCTATCGTCTCGTTGCTGCAGGCAGCATGATGCTCCACTTAGAACCCAACAAGATGGTGCTTTGATGATGCTCTTTGTTCTATTTCCCCTCACCTGACTCTGTCACAGCTGCTAAGAAGCCCGAGCTGCGTTTCCCACCAAAGCTGTTATCGCCTGGAAGGTGTTAAAAAAGAAAGACTAAGATTAAAACAAACACTGAAATAGCTCGCCAGCTACATGGGAAGATGTCTTTTCTTTTCTTTTTTTAAAAAAGAGGATTAGACAATTCCATAGAGGGTAGTGCTAATAGTGGCTACTAGCCACAGAGTGTTATGGACCATCTGGACGACGAGGAATGGTGGGAGGCTGCAGCCAGAAAGCCCTTCAGGGAAGTCTCAGAAGAGGAAGAGGAAGAGCCAGGGGAGTGGTGGTGGGATAAGGAAGATAGGTCAGAGGATGAAGTGAGGGCAGAATGGATGGATGCTGAAAAAGAACAGGCTAGAGTGAGAGAGAGGAAGAAGAGGCAGAGAGCACTGCAGACACAGAACAGGCAGCTGAGGAGGAGGTGGGGACTGAGATTCACAGGAGCCTGCCAGTCCTACTGTATTCAGCTCCCCTCCTCCCTTGTCTCCAAGGGCACAGAGAGCTTTGCAGAGGAAAGAGCACAGGGCCCCGCTCCCCAATGGAGTTCAAGACTGCTGGGAAAGCAGCCAGACACGAAGGAGACTTAGAGGGAAGAGGGAGGCACAGATTGTCAGTTCTGGCTGTAGGTTTCTCTGTAGTCAACTTTATTGCTCGTCTCTGAGTTGCTATGCTGACCAGCAGCTGAACCAATCCTGACCCAGACAGGGGCTGTGCTCTACCTCCACTTTCTGAGGCAGCACATGGCTCTGAATATCAGCTGGTGGGCATCGCAAACAGAGAGAGGAGTGGTCCAGATATTGGGGAGGGGTGCATTAACCCCATTGCCTGTTTTTAAGCGGTGGTTCTTGCTTTTAATTAATCAGCATATACATTTTAGGGGGGAGGATTGTCATGGTCAGACCACTTCCTGGTGAAACTTGGACTTTGGGGAGTCCTGATCCCTGAGATCATTGTCTTGAACTCCACAGGAGACGTGCATTGTGGGCCCATTTCTGGCTGAGATCAGACAGGCTCTGTCCCTGTTGAACTTTTGGTGTGTGGTGAAGACTTTATTTATTTCAGCAGGCATTTTAAGAAAGCTTTTCTAACTTTATTATTAACTTCAACTGAATTATCTCATTCATATATCCTCCAACAGTTCTTCAGTGAAAATAGGGATGTCCTAAGGGAAAGCAGGATATTCTGGGGTCTAATCAGAAACAGGGGTGGCTTCTGTAAATCTAGGACTGTCCCTGGAAAATAGGGAAACTTGGAGGATATCTCTCTACAATCATTGTATGCCACTTAGAAGCTGTAGTGTTAACCAGTATAAAATTTGTTGAAATGATATAACTGCGGCCAGAATGATTATAGCAAAAAATTGGAAGGGAGAAAAAACTCCTTCAATAAGAGAATGGGAAATAAGATTTTGTGAATATATAGAATCAGCAAGACTTACAGCAGGGGTAAGAGGCCAATCAAAAATAAAAAACTGATAGAGGAGTGGACGTGCGTGAAGGAATACATCAAAAAACATTGTTCTGGTATTAATATATCAATATCAATATATCAATATGCAATGAATGAAACTTATAGAGTAAAAAATTGAGAAGAAATGGGTATAAGATGAGATAGTCAAAAATAAGATTGATAACACAGCAAAAAGAAGAAAAGAAACAAAGGAAGCCACATATACAGAAGTCAAAATTTATGTCTGTATTTTTAGTTTGTATGTTTGTTGTTTTTTTTGTAATCTTAGTTGAGAGGTGTATGTAAAGGTAAGGGTAAAGGGACCCCTGACCATTAGGTCCAGTTGTGACTGACTCTGGAGTTGCGGCGCTCATCTCGCTTTATTGGCCAAGGGAGCCGGCGTACAGCTTCCAGGTCATGTAGCCAGCATGAGGTGTATGCATCTATGCATAATAAGTTTGTTTAGTGTTCTGGTTTGTGTTTGTAAGTATTGCATTTATCAATAAAAGTTTTTTTGTTTTTTTTAAAAAAGAAATTATATAACTTAAGGGTTGTGTCCAATGTTAGTCCTACTCAGAGCAGGCTTATTAAAAATAATTTCAGGGGGTCTTCTCCAGGTAAGACTTAGTTGGACACAACCCTAAATAACTAAATAACTGCATTTAATTGGGGGGGGAGGATTCCTTTTTTTGGAAAAAGAAAAACATGCTTCTTTTTTGTAGATGGATGGGGCAGATGTCAATAATCCATGCAGGTGCCTGGTCATGTTTGGTTGCATTACAAATCCTGCACTAACCTGATCTAATGTGCAGCTGTTTCTCCGTGTCTGCCCGATTAACCTATTAAGAATGGAATTTAACCACAGGCATCATTTCTGCATAGCTGCTGGTTAATTTATTGACAAATTATACACACAGTCCTTTCTCTCCAACCAGCCCACAGCAGGGTGTGTGCTCGTGTTACAGCAACAATCGCCTTGAAATGTAACTCCAGGACTTTCTGCAGAAATGATTCATATATGAGCTCACCACTGAGGTGTCCCTCAGAGTGACATGGGATGGTTGTAACAGAGAAGGTTGTCATGGAGATGCCTTCAAGCCTGTCTTTGAATTCCCCAGCAACTGAAAGCCTGGCCAGTTCTGATGCACACTTCAGGCAAGTGGTGAAGAAGCCCCGTGGCCCTCCAGATGTTGTTGGAAGTAACCAATGCATGAACCAGTAATAGCTCAGTCGGTAGAGCATCAGACTCTTAATCTCAAGGTTGTGGGTTCAAGCTCCACGTTGGGCAAAAAGGTTCATGCATTGCAGGGGGTTGGACCAGACCACCCATGTTGCCCCTTTCAACTCTACAATTCTATGAGTCTGCAAAACCAATTGCAGCTGGTAGAAGGCGTGTCTAGCCACTGAGTCTCCAGTGACATGGCTGGATCCCAAAGCACTCCCAAAGAAGTCAACCTGCTCCTTCATATGACATTTTAATGTATTTTTAATCTTTGTTGGAAGCCGCCCATAGTGGCTGAGGAAGCTCAGCCAGATGGGTGGGGTACAAATAATACATTATTATTATTATTATTATTATTATTATTATTATTATTACTATTATTTTTATTTTTATTATCATCATCCACAGTAGGCAATGGATCAATTTCTTAGACATGGGAACTACAGTGGTGCCTCGCAAGACGAAATTAATCCGTTCCGCGAGTCTCTTCGTCTTGCGGTTTTTTCGTCTTGCGAAGCACGGCTATTAGCGGCTTAGTGGCTATTAGCGGCTTAGCGGCTATTAACGGCTTAGCGGCTTAGCGGCTATTAGCGGCTTAGCAGCTTAGTGGCTATTAACGGCTCAGTGGCTTTAAGAAAAAGGAAACAAACTCGCAAGAACTCGCAAGACATTTCGTCTTGTGAAGCAAGCCCATAGGGAAATTCGTCTTGCGGAACGACTCAAAAAACACAAAACCCTTTCGTCTAGCAAGTTTTTCGTCTTGCGAGGCATTCATCTTGCGGGGCACCACTGTACTCACCCACAGTGTTTCTATCATTCCAGGATTCAAGCTGAGATTGGTTTTCCTCCTCCATCTCACCACTGCATCCCTGGTTTAGGGCTTTAAAGGCTAAAGCAGTGTTTCCCAAACTTGGTTTGCCAGCTGCTTTTGGACTACAACTCCCATCATCCCTAGCTAGCAAGACCAGTGGTCAGGGATGATGGGAATTGTAGTCCCCAAACAGCTGGAGACCCGAGTTTGGGGGACACTGGGCTAAAGCCAGCACCTTGAATTGCACCCAGACACAAACAAACAAAATTTTGATAAATTTGCCAAGTTGAACTGGAGGGGCAGGGGAGATTGAATCAGAAGAACATAAGAATCCACCTTAAAGATTGGCTCAGTACTGACTGCAATGGCTGGGGTTTCCCACAGGAGTCTCTCCCCGCCCTACCTGGAAATGCCAGGGACTGAACCTTGGACCTTCTGCATGCAAAGCAGATGCTCTGACACTGAGCTGTGAACGAGGAATTCAGTGGGGGAATTCCAATATCCCTGTGAGGCATTCTGTCTTTTATACAGCAGCCACAGTGTGTATTCAGAGGCAGGAAATGCAATCTCTCCTCGCTCTGCACATAGGCAGGTTGCCACCCTGAAAGCCTCAACCCTGCTTCCGTTTGAAGCTTCTTCATTTATATATATAATACACATTTGGGAGTCTGATGCAGCGGGGGGAAGAAACAAATTGAATCAGCTCACTAAAGCTGCTCATCAAGGAGATTACATGGAGCAAAACAATTACTTTCTGCCTTTAATTTTAATCCAAGGATCAGTAGCCCGGGGAGGGAAGTCGCTCTCCCCGCCCCCCTTGCCTGCTCTACAGTCTATTCCATGAGTCATAGAGTTGGACAATCCTTTTGTCTGACCCATCCTCTGCAGAGATTAAGAATATGATCTGGGAGGCTCAAATGCATGGTACCACCCGATATCATCTGCCTCCACTAAGGATGGAGAGAAATTCAACTCGCCTTCGCATTTAGATGCAGACTCGACTAATTCACTCTTTCCAAAACGATATGCAAACTGAGACTCAACAATTTTTTTACTTCTCAGAATTTTGCAGGGCAGTTCTCCAGCGTGTACAAAATTGCATATCGTGGGGTGATATGTCCCCCACCCCCAAAAAAATGCACATACAAGTGAAACTAAAGTATAACAGTTATTTGGGGGCAAGAATGTGTCTATTGGGCAAGAATGCATACACAAATTTTGCACTAAAGCGCTGGCGAATTTTCATAACGACTTGGAACACTCTGGTCTGAAGCAAACGGAGCATTCTGGTCTGGAACAAACGAGGCTCAAAGCTGCTTACATATTGAGATCCACATGGAGACTGGGATAACAAAAGCCTTGGTGGCCATCATGGGCCAAATGAGAAGGCCTGAAGGACCATAGGATAGGCTGGAGGTCCCCACACCCATGATTTAGGAGGTTTGGAGGAACAACAAGGCACTGTTGGGGCTGGGGGGAACCACAGATAATAATAATAATAATAATAATAATAATAATAATAATAATAATAATAATTTTTTATTTATACCCCGCCCTCCCCAGCCAAGGCCGGGCTCAGAGCGGCTTACAAGCAATAATAAAAACAAGATGAATGATTACAATTTAAAAACAAAAATAAAATACAACATTAAAATAATGGAACATTAAAATATTAAAATGTAGCCTCATCGCAGGAGGAGAAGGAAAAGAAAAAAGAAAGAGAGGGAGGGAGGGAATCAAATTGGCTCCAAGCCAAAGGCCTGGCGGAACAACTCTGTCTTACAGGCCCTGCGGAAAGAAATCAGATCTTGCAGGGCCCTGGTCTCATGAGGCAGAGCGTTCCACCAGGCCGGAGGCAGAGTTGAAAAGGCCCTGGCTCTGGTTGAAGCCAATCTAACTTCCTTAGGGCCTGGGACCACTAGGGTGTTGCTATATATGGACCTTAAGGTCCTCCGTGGGGCATACCGGGAGAGGCGGTCCCGTAGGTACGAGGGTCCTAGGCCGTGAAGGGCTTTAAAGGTCAAAAGCAGCACCTTAAATCTGACCCTTTACTCCACCGGGAGCCAGTGCAGCTTGAAAAGCACTGGGTGAATATGCTCCCATGGCAGAGACCCCGTAAGGAGCCTCGCTGCAGCATTCTGTACCCGCTGGAGTTTCTGGGACAGCTTCAAGGGCAGCCCCATGTATAGCGAATTACAGTAGTCAAGCCTGGAGATGACCGTCGCATGGATCACTGTGGCCAGGTCGGGGCGGGAAAGGTAAGGGACCAACTGCTTGATGCGGCGAAGGTGGAAAAATGTCGCCTTGGCTGTTGCTGTAACTTGCGCCTCCATGGGAAGGGGGCGTCAAGGATTACACCCAAACTCTTAACAGAAGGCAATGGCACTAATTGGGCCCCCGCAAGAGAAGGGAGTTGGTCCTTCATCCCCATGCCATCCCGACCTAGCCATAGGACCTCTGTCTTCGAAGGATTTAGTTTCAATCGGCTCCCACGAAACCATCCAGCCACAGCTTCCAAGCATCTGGTCAGTGTGTTTGGGGCCGAGTCGGTGTGGCCATCCATCAGCAGATAGAGCTGAGTGTCATCAGCATATTGGTGACAGCCCAGCCCAAAGCTCCGGATAAACTGGGCAAGGGGGCGCATAAAGATGTTAAAAAGCATCAGGGAGAGAATTGTGCCCTGCGGCACTCCACACACCAAGGAGTGGTACGACGACATTTCCCTCCCTAGTGCCACCCTCTGTCCCCGACCAGAGATAAAAGAGCACAACCAGTTACGGGCTATGCCCTGTATCCCCATGTCTGCGAGGCGGTGGTCCAGAAGATCATGATCGACCATGTCAAAGGCTGCTGACAAATCTAAAAGGATCAGCAGTCCTGACCCGCCTCGATCCAGTTGTCTACGGAGATCATCTGTTAGGGCAACCAGAGCTGTCTCCGTCCCAAAACCAGGACGGAAACCGGACTGAAATGGATCTAATGCCGATGTTTCCTCCAGAAACCTACCAAGCTGTTCAGCAACCGCTCTCTCAATTACCTTACCCAGGTAAGGAAGATTTGAAACTGGGCGGTAATTGGATCTAATGGATCTAATGAAGTTTTCTTTAAGAGTGGACACACCACTGCTTCCTTCAGTTCCCCCGGGAATGTCCCCGTGTCAAGGGACAAATTGATAATTTCAACCAGGGGGGTCCGCGCAACATCTGGACACTCCCTAATCAGCCAAGACGGGCACGTATCAAGGAGGCAGGTGGTGGGCCTACCAACTTGGAGGAATCTATCCACATCAGTAGGGAGTATCCGATCGAAATGGTCCAACACTGGACCTGAAGTCAGTCGAGGGGCCTCCAGTTCAGTCACTGTATCTAAATTGGCAGGGAGGTCACGGCGGAGCAACAGGACTTTCTCCGCAAAAAAGCTCGTGAATTCCTCACAGCTGTGCGTCGAATTTGTGCTTAAATTTGGTTGTCCTCCTAAGGACATTATTGATTTAATTATTCTAAAAAGTTGTACCAGGCGAGAGCTAGCGGATGCAATGGAAGCTGCAAAGTAAGATTTCTTAGCAGCTTTCATAGCCATCTCATAGGCTTCCATAAGCGTCCTATAAGATGTTCTTGAGGCTCCGTCACGAGTCCGTCGCCATACTCGCTCTAGCCGTCTGAGATCCCGCTTCATTTTCCGGAGCCCCTCAGTAAACCAAGGGGCCCGGTTTCGACGGGGTCGCAGAGGGCGCTTAGGCGCAATCTCATCAATGGCTGCCAAGAGCCGGTTATTCCAGTCCTCAACAAGGTCATCTAATGAGTCGCCAGGAGGAGCAGGGTTCCGCAAGGCTTGTCGGAATCTATCAGGATCCATCAGTTTTCGCGGATGAGCCCAAATAGGTTCGCCACCCGAGCCGGGGAGGAGCGGGAAGTCAATCTTGGCTTTCAGAGCGTAGTGATCAGACCATGGCACCTCCACAGCGGGGAGCATGATCACATCTATGCCAGCCCCAAAGAGCAGATCCAGCATGTGGCCTGCTTGATGAGTGGGGCCCAAAACAAACTGGGAGAGCCCTAGTGTTGCCATGGAAGTCACTAGGTCCAGAGCCTGTGAGGAGGGAGCGGCATCGGCATGGATGTTGAAGTCTCCCAAAACCAGTAGGTTTGGGAACTCCAAGGCCCAGCCCGCCACCACCTCCAGCAGGTCTGACAGGGTGGCTGCAGGTGTGCTGGGTGGTCGGTACACCAGCCAGACAGCCAAGCTCTCCTTGGTGCCCCACACGAGACCAGCACATTCAATGCCGGAGATCGCCGGTGATGGCAGAGCTCTGAAAGAGCAATCCTCCCGGAATAACAACGCTACTCCTCCCCCCCCCGACCCACAGTCCGTGGTTGATGGAGGACAGAGAAACCTGGGGGTGTTATCTCATGTAGGGAGACTACTTCGCCTTCCCGTACCCATGTCTCCGTCACGCAAGCCAAGTCAATCCCCTGCGAGACAAAAAAGTCACTCATGGTGGCAGTTTTGTTGCCTATGGACCTGGCATTGCACAGCACCAATGACGGAGGTGTGTAATCCTTGCTCTCCCTACCCTCATCCCTTGGGATGGGGCGTAGATTGGAAGGGGTTCGACGATCACTGCATCTCGAAACCCTTTGCCGATAGAGATATCTAGCCCCACCGCTATTCCTCCCTAGCCCTTCAATTGTGGAAATCCCAGATCCCATACTAGCCTCCCCAATAGATGGGTAACATCCCCTCAATAACAAGTCATCCTTGGGCCAGGACTCCTGGGTCAAAATGGTATGGGAAAGAGGTGGAGGTCTGATAGGGTAAATATCCCTAGAAGATAAAACCCAACCAACCGCACCCCAAGCGAGGGGGACAGTCCCATGGTGTTTCATTAACTGTCAATCCGCCTCTCCCTCCTGGGTTAATTGGAGGATTGTTGGTTCTATCTGTGGCTGTGGAAGTATTAATGAGGTATGTGTTATAAAATGTGGATCACTGGCCAACAAAGAGCCAGATTCGAATTCGGAAGATCTGTCCATCCTGTCTCGCCAGGAGTACAGTAGAGAAGGCTGATCATTCTGATAAGTTTTTGGAACATTAGTCAAAGGTCCAGATGTAGATTTGGTGCTGGATATCTCCAGATTGTCAGCAACATAGAGTTCTTTAGGTGTTGTTGCCATAGAAATGTCGGAGGCGCCAAATTCCTCCTGCTCCAATTTTTAAATTTGAATTTTAATAACAGCTAGTGAGTCACAGAAAAAAAGGAATGAAAGAAAAAATAGCTTTTCAAAAAAGGACAAGTTGTTGCAATTGCTAGTAAAGAAGTATAGGATACAGCTATGTGATTTACTGAGTCAATAATAAAAATACCAAGAGGAAAAGGATGTGTGGCCTCTCATTACAAAGAGTCACATGGTCAGAATTAAAGCAATTGTATTTTTTTGCTTCTTTTTTATTAAAGATTTTCTTGTTTTACAGAA